TTTTTTTTTTTTTTTTAAAAAAACAAAAAAGTCAAAATGCCCGTCAAACGAAATGTTAAAAAGATTAGGAAAGTTACGACATCAATGATTTTTTAATTGGTGTTGTGAAAAGGTGGCGGCAAACAGAGGATATTGGCAGAGGATATACTTAGAAATGGCGTAAGGCCTCCATCTGAGGTGTTCACCTTCCGTGAAGTTGCGAGTGCGACCGAGAATTTCAATCCCGATTTGTTAGTCGGTGAAGGAGGGTTCGGGAGAGTCTATAAGGGATATCTGAAGAAAACGAATCAAGTAATTAATGCTTCGGCTTTTTTTTTCTTTATTAAAGTTTGTTCGTTCTGCTTTTTGTTCGCCTGAGTTTTTTGTCGTTTTTTTTTAGGTCGTGGCCGTGAAGCAGCTGGATAGAAATGGAGTTCAAGGAAATAGGGAATTTCTGGCTGAGGTTCTTACATTGAGCCTCGTTCATCACCCGAATCTTGTGAATTTAATCGGATATTGCGCGGATGGTCGACAGAGGATATTGGTTTATGAGTTCATGCAGAATGGATCTTTAGAAGATCATCTTCTCGGTAATCATTCGTTCGTGTTTTCTTTTTACGAAAATCGATTTTTTTTCGATTTCTTTTATGACTTAAACAGCATTTGTAAGTTTAAAAGTATAAGTAATAATCAAGAATTGGTTTCAAAAGTACATTCTAAAGTAGTTCTTGACTTGTTTAGTTCTTTTTAACCAATTGTAGCATAATTCATGTTGTTTTTTTGAATCCAATGATCACATTCACTTTTTTTGGTTCAGATTTACCTCCAAACAAACAGCCCTTGGATTGGTCAACAAGGATGAAAATAGCCCGAGGCGCGGCCCGTGGGCTTGAGTACTTACACGACATGGCTAACCCGCCAATCATATTCCGAGATTTCAAGCCGTCCAATATACTATTGGACGGCGAATTCAACCCCAAGCTCTCGGATTTCGGGCTCGCCAGGCTGGGCCCAACAGGCGAGCAAGACCATGTTTCGACGAGGGTGATGGGTACATACGGCTATTGCGCGCCTGAGTACGCCCAAACGGGAAAGCTCACGGCCAAATCCGATGTGTACAGTTTCGGTGTCGTTTTTCTCGAAATTATTTCCGGAAGACGGGCTATCGACAGTACCAAGCCAACCGAGGAGGAGAATCTTGTTTCTTGGGTTAGTCGATACTTCTTTAAAAACATGCTATTTTGATGTAAACGAAGTGAATGTGTAGACTTGTCTAACTGTTAAGTTGTCCCTCGCTGTCCTTTATTTATAGAACAAAAGCTGGCGAGAGACAGTTTAACTGTTTCTTGGGTTAGTCGATACTTCTTAGTCTGTAAATGAGCTGAGACGAGCCGAGTTCAAGCTTAGGGTGCTCGATCCCTTAATGAGCCAAGTTGAACTCAACTTGTTAAATAAACGAGCCTGAGATCCACTAATAACGAGCCGAGTCAGAGTCTTAACGAGCCAATCTCGAGATGTAACTAGACAATCTATAGAAAACTATATAAAAATTCTCTTTTCGAGCTTTATTGAGTCGAGCCGAGCTCGGCTCGTTAACCAAACGAGCTTTAAATGAGCTCGAGCTCGGATCGTCTCGAGCCTTAACGAGCCGGCCGAGACAGACTCGTTTAATTTAATAGTACTAACACTTCTTAAAAACACGATATTTTAATGTAAACAAAGTGAATGGATCAACTTGACCCCCGATGTCTTTTGTTTATAGAACAAAAGCTGGCGAGGGACAATTTTTAGTTGTTTTTTGGGTTAGTCCATACTTCCTAAAAACACGTTATTATAATGTAAAACTAAGTGAATCGATCGACTTGTCTAACAGTTAAACTATTCCTCTGCCAGCTTTTGTTCTATAAACAAAAGCGGTTAATTTTATTACAAAAGGTCACTAAGGGCAATCATGAATTTCAAAAACTTACATACTCTAGCAACAAGAAAACTTAGAATTTTTTTTATTTTTTTTCTCGAAAAATTTTTGCAGGCGAAGCCGCTATTCAAGGACAGGAACAAGTTCACGATAATGGCGGACCCATTGCTCGAGGGGAAGTACCCGGTAAAGGGTCTCTATCAAGCTCTAGCAGTCGCCGCCATGTGTCTTCAAGAGGAAGCTGGAACGAGACCTCTAATCGGGGATGTTGTGACCGCGCTCGAGTATTTAGCTGGGACTATGGACGAGGTACACAGTGAAACAGAAATGTAGGAAGGGGAAAACATATATTCATTGTTTTGAAAAGAGAAAGGAATTGNTTATGTAGAGAGTGAATTTGAGGTTTGATATGGTTAAGGGGCAGAAGCTGGTTACAAATTTGTGTTTTTTATGTGGGATATGATTTTGTAAGTTGGGTAATTTTAATTATTAATATATATATTTGTTTTTTTATTTCGGTTTGAACTAAGTAGAACCAAACGAGCGGAGTTCGAACTCTTGCTAGTTTAACGGCTTGCTAACTTAACAAGCGAGAGATGAAGCCAAAGCTCAAGTATAAAGAACTCGAGCTCGACTTGCCTAGTATAGGACTCTAATCAGGAGTTAATATAGGGAATATTGATAATTAATTAATGAATCAAAGGCTGCAAAAAATAAATGAGATGAACTCTGAAAAGTAATCCAACTTGTTTATTAAATAAGTTAAAAATTGTTTGTTCGAGAACAACTCATTTTTTTTATTATTTATGTTTTTTGCTTTTTAAATTAAAAAAAAATCAAGTTGAACTTATTTGCCAATGAATAATTCGTCTTTGTGAACAACTTATTTAAGTACTGAAGTTCATTAAACGATCATCAAGCTTTCATGAACTTAAACACATTGAGCTTGAGTTGAGCCTTTTTTCCAGGACGAGGTTGATTTATATACTGCGAGTGTTCACACTAGGGGCGGTACCGTAATTAACCAACTATTCAAGTGTGAACGCAACAAACCAAGTAATTACGGTACCGCCCCTAGTGTGAACACACATTTGTTAAATGAGTCGAGCTGATCTGACTCATTAATTAAACGATCACGAGCTCGAACTTAATAATGTATTCAAAGTAGTTTTATAGTGAGGCTACTTTTAGACGCATACTTTTAATCAGGCAAACTTATTTTTAGTAATGGAAAGAAAAAAAGCCCAAGACGATTCGTTTATAGGGCTTGGCGTTAAAATTGACATCCCATTTAGCAGGCTTGAAATTGTGAGCCCACTTACAAATATCAACAAAAATTGGCTCACTGGGGCCTTGAGTTTCATAAGATGTTCAAATATATTTAAAGTCTAAAAGAGATTCATTTTAAGTCCATAACTTCATAGTCTAGTTTCATTAATATTGAAATTTATTTCTTATATATTTTTTTTATGATTATTCAAAAAACCAAGTTAATGAATTGTTGATGATTTTATCAACTCTATATATCTACTTGATAATTGAACAAAGCATAAATTTCCAATCAATCTCACACCATCAAATTTCTCTCTCTCTCTATATATATATGCAAAACTAAAATTGTTATTCGAGTCGATTCGAACATGGAAGTTCATGCTAGAGCTCTTGCTAATTTAGTAAACGAGTCAAACACTCGGCACGAACCATTTAAGCTTCCGAAAGTTCAGCTCAGTTCAGCTTGACTCGACTCGTTTAGTAAACCGAAACGATTACTCATGAACTAATACGGTTCGACCAATTTATTTTGTTGTACGCGAGGAAGCTTGATTCGACAAGTTTAATAAGCGAGTCATGTTAGTTGTTCTAGTTCGACTCGTTTAAATAAACCATTAAGTCGATTTCAAACTTCTGCGAGTCAAATAAAGTTGTACTCGCAAGCAGTTCAATCTTCTTAAACAACCCTAATTCAAAACACTCCATATGAAAAGTGCATTGAAGTCTATATTATTGGGTACAACATACTAGAAGTCGCTAAGTTCAATGACTAAAAATTCGATAGACACATACACAGCTATATAAGTAGTTTGCGTTGAAATCAATGACTAAAAACTCGATAGAGATTTTTCCCCAAGGATAGGCATGAATTTACCTTAGAAACCTAACATATAGTATACCCCAACATTGATGAGTGAACCTACTACAATACATGATTTTTATCGTTGCTCTCTTTTGTTCCATAACTTTAAGAGTACATGAGTGGGTTATAAATGCAAACCATAAAAAATAAATTACAAAAGAGAAAAGGAAAACAAGGGTGTGAATTGTCAGATTTCTATGGACATGACATTGCCCATTGGTTAACATATTAATGGCCAATAGCCACTGTTCCACGAAATGGGCTTCGGGCCTTTACTCGAGCCAAGTGTCCCAACAGCCTTTCCGCATTGTTTCATTCACTTCAATGCCATTTATTTCATTTCAACAGCGCTGTACTTTTATATCTATTTATTTAATTGTGCGATTCAGAAATCAGAATTTGTCTGCAGTTGAATAGGTACCCAATTTAAAAGATAAAAATAGACAAAAAAAAAATGACTAAATAATTTGATGCAAAGAATTTATGGCAAGCAACTACTACTCTAGGATGTGTTAGTTGGAGTTGGAGTGATATGATTTTGATAGTTAAATAAATAAATAAATGTTGCTAGTGTAAAATAATTTAAAACTATCAAATTAGTATCAAACCATATTTCATAATTTCCTAGGAAATATCATACTACCCCTGGGAATTTGTCTTTAAAAAAAAAGTGCAATATATCTAAGATATTGGGAATTTTTTATTTTTGGCTACTTTTGAAAACCAAATTATTATTCTTTTTCTATTTTAATTAGTTGTCCTTTTACCCTCTCACTCACCATGCATTTCCTTCTCACATTGAATGCCAATACACAAAATTCAAAAACAATTTCATATATTAAAAGCTTCTACCAACTCTTACACACACACACTGACACACACAACAAATAAAACCAGACACCCAAATCCATACCCATTAAATATTAATTACTCCATTAGGACCTCCAACAATCACCCTCATAAAAAAGTACCAACAATATTTCTCAAATTTCTTTCCTCAAAAACAATAATCATAATAACAAAAATAAAAGGCATTTGTAGTAATATTCAATAAATCAAAACCCTTCATGTGCCCGGGGCAAAATTATTGCCTTGAGCGGGTCCTTCATGATCACCGTAAATGCAAAAGTCTCGGTTGGGTCGGGCGGGTTGTCGGGTATGGGGACCCACTTGAAGGCCTGAACCATCCGCCCGAGCAGAAGGCTCGAGTGGAGGACTCCGAGGCTCCACGCGGGGCAAATCCTCCGACCCGCCCCAAACGGCAACATCTTCACCCCTTTGGTGCCCGTTATGTCGACATCCACTCCGTCCCCTGTTAAGAACCTTTCTGGCCGGAATTCGTTAGGGTTCTGCCACATGTCCGGGTCCTCCGTGAGGTGCGCCGTGTAGAACTCCACGTACGCGTCGGCCGGGATCGTGTACCCTCCTAGCTCGATTTCTTTCGTGGCTACACGCGTGTTTACCGACAAATTAATTAGTTTTCGATTCGTAAAAAAAATCGAGAAGTTTTTTAGTGTTGAGGCGAACAAGTGTCGTGTGTTGTTAACACATGACACTTTTTCGAAAATCGAATTCAAAGAACACAAGAAATGGAAATTCTAGACATGCATGCATGAAGCGCCAAAACGGCTAAAACTTTAACCGAGTTGATCGCAAACACGTTCGACTCCACTAAAAGCTCGATCAGTTTGTTTGGGCCCGACCCGTTCAAATGTACAGGCGAGTCGGGATCGAGCTTTCAGAAGTCGAACCGAACTGTTTCACGTTTTGCAGTCTCGAGTGAAAAAAAAATAAATTATGACTACGCAATTAAAGCTGCAAACGAGCCAAACTGAGTCGAGCATTGTCCTTATCGAGCATGATTGTATTTTTTTTTTGGTTGCTCGAGCTCGACTCGATAAGAAAATATAATAGCTCGACATGAAATGAAATGCTCGAGCTCGGCTCGAATTCAGCTTGAAATTTTTTTAGTGAATTTACCATTAAGCACTTGTGTTATACTATTTTGATATATATATAAAGCGCATTTTAGTAATTTAATATATATAGAGCCGCTTGACGAACTGCTCGACAATACAAAATATGAGCTCGACTCGAGTTCAGTCAAACTCAAGCTCGAGTCGAGCTTTGACTCGAGCGCTCGCGAGCAGCTCGACTCGTTTGTAGCCCTATACGCAACAATAACAGCAACAACATCAAAACAACGAACCAGAATGCGATAGCAGAAAATGGCTAGGCGGGTGCCGCCTGAACGTCTCCTTGATAATGGCCCCGAGATACGGCATATTCTCCACGTCGCTCTCGGTGAGGGGCCCGTTGGGCCCCACTTGGCCCACGATCTCCTTATATAGCGTCTCCTGGATCTCCTGGTCTTGGACCAGGTGGAGTAGGGCCCACTCGAGGGTGGTGGCGCTTGTGTCCGTGCCGGCGTTGATGGCCTCCGAGCACAACGTCACTATCTCCTCCTCAGTCAGCCCGGCCCGGCCCGGAGGCTCCAGCCCGAAGAGAGAGTCCACGTAGGCCGCACCTAATGGGCTCGCCATCTCGGCTGCCGTGGGCCCGTCCGGGTTCTCGACAAAGGCCTTCCTGTTTCTGATTAATGGGATCAGGCAGTCCAGCTGTTTTTTCCTCAGCTCCTTGGCTTTCTTGACCTGTTGTTGAAAGAAAAACATTTCATTTAAGGCAAAAAAAAAAAAAATTAAAAAAGGACACCTAATAATAATATGAAGAGTGAGTAATTAATTATAAGGCTAAATAGTCATAACTTTTGTTGTTTTTCTATATATATATTTTGATGAAGGCATGCCAAATTAAGGATATTAATTAGCTTAATTTCATAGAACGCAAATTTTCTATAAGTACCTTATTATAGAAAAAGGTCCACAAATTATTGTATGAAACTGTCTAATCAATGCTTGTCACACACATATATTTAACAAAAATATATAGTTATGCTATGAAATGTCATATTTTTTTCCATTATAATGTGACAGTTTGAAATAATATAGTTATGATATGAAATGTCATACTTATTTAGATTATAATGTCATTTTTTCCATTATAACGTGACAGTTTGAAATAATATAGTTATGATATGAAATGTTATACTTATTTAGATTATAATGTCACTGTTTGAAAAGATACATATCTGTTGAAAAAAAAATATGGTCGCTGACCGTTAGACATGATTATCACCTGGCGGCGAAAAAGCGGCGTGAGCACTGGGAGGAAATCCGGCAGCTGCGGTGCCGTCATCAGCATGACGTCCTTGAGCACGGCCTCGATTACCTTAATCCTCTCCTCCGAAACCTTCACCCCGAAGCACAAGCAAATAAGGATGCTGCAAATGGTGAGCCTGCAGTGGGCCATAACCTCCACGAACCCGGCCCGCCTGGCCTCGTCCTCGAGCCTTTTCATGTGATTCTCCATGGCCCAATTCCTGATCCACCCGCACTGCCGGATACGGGCCGGGTTGATCAGCTCCGTCACGAAGTTGCGGCGCAGGGCCCGCCAGAGCGGCCCGTATTCGGCCGAGTTGATGGCGCACTTGCCCACGCTGAAGATGAGTCGGATGGGCGAGTCAGCGGGCCGGCTCGCGAGGATTGGGCCCTTTTGCACGAGGGCCTCGTGGATTAGGTCCGAGCTTGTCACGATCACTAGGGTTCGTTGGCCCATCTGCATAGTGAAGATGGGCCCGTATTTTTTGCGGAGGTCGCGGACCACGAAGATGAAGGGCCGCCGTTGGAGGATAACTTGGAAGAGGTTGCCGACTAGTGGCCAGCCCGGTGGGCCCGACGGGAGGTTTTTTGGGCCGCGGCCTTTGGTGGATGACAAGTGGCGCCACCAGAGGCGGAGGAAGACGGCCGACGCCAAGAGTAGTAAAATGTCAACCAAATCCATTTTTTTGTTCTTTTTCCTTTTTGTTCTTTTTTGGGGTAGAGAAATATTGGAGCGAGTTGGAAAGTGAGTCGATGTTGAGAGAGTTAAATAGGGAAAAATTGGAGAGTTGGAGAAGTGGGTGAGTTAAGACTGAAGAGGACTCGGAGTACGCTTAATTAGCTACCAACTGGGCCATATTCAATAAAATTGGTCAGAAAATATTTATCATCGTGCATGTACCAGTCCGTAACATTTAACGATTAGACTTACTGGAGCTAAGCTAAACACTGATGGAGCCTTTGATCGACTTACTAGAGTTGCAGGAGGTGGGGGCCTGATTAGGGATCATAGAGGCGCCCTTATCGCCGCGTTTCATGCCCCTCTTCGGGCCTCTTCGAGCTATGATGCGGAGGTTCAGACGCTTCAGATCGGTCTGCAGATTACCGCCTCTATCTCCTCCCACATTTGGATAGAGTTAGACGCGGCCGCTGTCATCACTCTTCTGTCATCAGGACATCAGAGCACGTGGCAGATCCAATACCCTCTCATGCGCATCAGCCACTCTCTAGACGATTCGCTCCCGGATCTCGCACATCTTCCGCGACGGGAACCGGCCAGCTGACTTCTTTGCTGGCATTGGGTCCTCCACCCCCCGCAAACGCATTCTTTATCCTGACGATATTCTTATCTGCCTCCGCACCCTCATACGGATGGACCAGATGGGATGTCCCTCGTTCAGATTTGTGTAGTCGGATCTACCTTTTGGCGCATCCGCCACACTGTGATGCTGACTTTCTAGCTGGAACTTATTTCGGATCATGATCTGTTATTTTCATATTTATCGCTGCAGTTGTTAGTTTTTCTCTGTATTTTTTCTTTTCTTTGTTGTTTTTCTTTTGTTTTTTCGTTTGACTGGATGTATATCAGACATTGGACTTGTAGCTTTGTGACTTTTCGGCTCATTTAGAGCATTTTATATACAGGTTGGGAGTTCGGCCTTAAACCCCCACCCTACTAAAGTGTTGGTTTAAAAAAAAAAAACATTTAACAGTTAGACAATTATATTTTTTTTAATAAATATATATAGGGAGAGGAAAGTGAAACTCAAACTAAAAAAATTGTGTCAGAATTGTGCAATTTGATGCATTTTGGTGTGAAAAAATGTATTGGTTTGAATTTGATTCGGTTTTTTCCTACACTGCAGTGTGGTATCGGTATTTATATTTCATACATTCAATTTTCAATTTTTTATTTCGGTTCATTGTAGTGTTGTTCAATTATTTTTTTTACTAGGTTCTTTTTTCGGGTTTTGTAGCTTGGTGCGGGTTTGTACCGAACCACACTATTGTTAACCTCAAGATATACATACTTTCGAACTAAAATGTCTTACTCTAAAAAAAGATATAAACAAAAGTATGATATTTTGTAGTGGAATTGTGCGATTTTGTTAATTAATATACATACTTTCAAAATGAAATATCTCATATGCATAAATAAAATTTACGAATCAACCCAACTAATGGTTAAGTTTGTGCCTGCCAAAAGAGTTGATATTAATTTACAAGAATGTACCTATGTACAGCTTTTGGAGCTCAATGGCATTTATCATGAATTTTTAACAGTGCTATTGTCACTAAAATTGGATGTCGCTGTTTTTAATATTTTGCCAAAAAAAAAAAAAAATAACTGTTTTTAATATTTTGCCAAAATTGGATGGAAGGAAAAAAGTTCGGTTTTGTAGAGTTTTTAGTTGTTTGTAAATGATTATTCAATTTCTATTGAGCCTAGCAAATGTAAATGAAGTTGGTAATTAATCTTATGGTGGAAAATGAATATCTAACCTAGGCTTATTGCAAGTAATTAGTAGGATTATGGTTCTATCATTTATGTATGTCTAGCTGTTTTAGTGTAATATCATATAGGAGACCTAATAATTATCCTTGAATGTAGTAAAATAATATATGAAAATATACTAAGGTTGTTGTATAAATCTTTGTGAGTCTTACATTGTCAACAAATGTGAACATTTTTTAATTAAAATATAATATCTTCAATAAACATGATAACAAAGTATGACATTTCACAAGTAAATATGAAATTTTGTTAAAAACATATAACAGATTACGCCATCTCACATAGTTTTAATAAAAAATAATATTCAAAACCAAACCTCACAGTGATCTGACTGTAAATGAGTAACAAATATTCTATTCATTTAGAATAAAGGTTGTTTTATATATAATTTTTCTATATTTTCTAATTATCAACCGATTTGTTCTTTTTAGATTATTCTATCAATCATATAATAATTAAAAAAAATCTCAAACTTTGAAAATAGAATAATAATGCAAATTAATATAAATAATAATTTAATTGTGCAATGAAAAAATAAAGTGTTAGGCCAATAATATATATATTAGGAAAATTTGGGAGAATATTGGTGAACAGAAGAGTACGCATACACGTAATTCATAAACACGAGATGCCGTGGATTTCTTGTATTTGGTCTCTTTAATTGACTTTTGTGGCGCCATTTCATGAATAAACATGTTGCTGCTATCTTTTTCATGTGCTAAAGAAGGAAAATAGGCAATTAAGGACACGGGTTGAAGTTTTTGTTTGATTTATATTTTCCTACAAATCTCTAATGTCTTTTGATTTTGACAAAAAATTGAAGTATGGCACATTAAAAAAGGTTGATTCATTTTTTGAGGAATGGGCTATTAATCAAACGGATTTGCTTAATCAATCGTATGTCTCATTGGCTGTATCGCCATACGAGAAAATTTTAGTTAGGCCCATTCTAACTAATGGATCCCCCAATTTTAATGTGGTTGATTTGGATTTGTAACCACAAACTTCACACACATTTATATGATAATGAAAGTAGAACAAAAATCATTTAAGATAATGAAACACCAAATTGGACGTAAAATAAAAGTAGAATTTTGGTGTTTCATTATTTTAAATGATTGACATGTGTACAAATATGACATCATCATGTGAGTATATGTATATTTGTGGTTAAAAACTTCACGGGCTAGTATTGACATTGCTTTAATGTGTATGTGAGACGAAATTTAATTTTTTTTAATGCATATATGCCGAGTTTTCAAATATGTTATTAGATTTGGTGCTTCGTTCATAATAGAAATTCGAAGGAGTCATCTATAGATTAATGTATTGATATGTATCCAAGTGTATTTAACTATTTGTCTTGGTACACGTGTCAATACATATTTATAAACAAAAAGTGTGGATGACTCAATAAGCTGAACTACTCATGTGATGGCTTCATAGTAAATTTTTCGTACATAATTCTCTATGTTGAATTAAGGTGTTTCATAGTATTGCATAAAGATATAGACTTCTATACATGCCTATTAGACATTTTAAAATTATAAAATACTTAAAAACTTAAATTATAAATATATTGTAAGAGTTAATAACTTTGATATTTATTATCAAATTTGTATATATGATATATTAAATTTAACTATAACTTGAACAAGTACAATTTGACACACACACACACACAAACACACACACACACACACACATATATATATATATATATGTGCCTTTAGAGTGAAAAAATAATTATACAACTATATCAATTGAACATTAATAAAATTATTTATCAATTCAATAAACTTATCTATTAAGCCCATTCATGAATTAAACAAATTGTTATAATATAAAAGATGGTGAGTCGTGTAAGTGAAGAGTTTCATTTCAAATATAAATAATAATGTAATTTTCAAGAATTACTTAAAATTTATAAGTAAAGTATTTTTTTTTAAATAAAATATGTGTAGTCCCACTCATGTTTACACACATAAGTGTTGTACTATAATAGTTAAAATTATTTTTGAATTGATTAATTTTAAAGATAACATAAATATAGATAAAGTGTTAATTAATTGAATTGGAAATTAAAGTTAAAATTACGAACAAACATGTTCTGCTGACCTATGTGGTGACATTTATTTACTTCATCTCACAGTGTTATTAATTTTGTTGGCCACAATTATGAGAAGGTAGTTGAATGTTGACTCTTATTGTACAGTTTTCGTTAAAATTCGAAATTAGAAATTTATATATTGTAATTGACTGAGGGTGTAGTGGTAAATCAATATATATATAATTACTAGTTGGTGCATTTAATAAAACATATTTTCATTTCCTTCTAAAAGGAGTTATATTTTTTTTAATTAATTATTTATTAATTTAATAAAACAATTATACCTTAATATATATATTTTTATCATTTATTTTTGCATCAGTTACTAAATTAATTCAAATTTGGTAGCAAAATATTCAAATGTGTAACGGCTAATGTTGGAACTTGGAACTTAAAGTTGATTGGCACATTCAGAGCTGTAACCGCTATATTTGGTTGCATTGTTGGAAGAAAAATATGATTGGCACACATTGTTTTTTTTTTTTCTAAAAATCAGAAACACCAATATTTTTTTTATTTATGTTAATTTTCTTAATATATGCCACAAATATATAAATTATTTTATTCATGTTACTAATGTAAACGTTGCATGGTTAAAATAAAAATTAAATCTCAATTAATTTTGAATGATAAAAATAACTTAAGAAAAAAGTAAAAATTTTTATATGATAAAAGTACATGTCTAATTAATAAATATAAATAAAAACGTGTTTTATATCTGTGCAAATGCACAAGATCAAATATTAGTATAAAGATAATGTACTAATGTAAATTTTATTTATTTATTTATTTTTCATGACAATATGAGCTCTGAAAATCGACCACTTGAGGTGTGGTCGTTGGTCAGTGTGGAGTTAATATTAATTACCGTACTATGTGAGGAAAGATTATTCGTCCATGCTATGCCGGGAAGTATATAAAAATAGTAAATATACAATTCAATTGAAAAAATATATGAATAAACAAACAAATACATTTTGCTAAAAATGTAGAATAAACATTGATTTGATTTATATTTGTGTTAATAAGATTGAGGAGCAAAAAAATTGCGTGAGCAAATATTGTATTTTATCACAGAGTGAAAAACTCGTTCCATTTGAATGTCACCACAAACTTTCGAAAATTCAGCTTTCTACATTAAAAATATGAATTACAATTATGTATATAAATAGCCAACTTGAAATAGCTTCAACATTTTCTGTATTTTACTTTTATTTTTACAGTTAAAGTACAAATATAAAGTCCTGCAGCAGTGCATTTAAATGTAGTATTGTGGTAGCTGATTGGTTGGTTGGGAGGTATATCTGTCAAAAGTATTCACTGCAATTGATAATGCAAACAAATAAAAGGAAAAAAAATTGATATTGATACATGCGAAAGTTATTGAGTCTTGTTGTATAGTTTAGATTATATGCCATATAAAAAAATTATGGGTTTGGTAAAATAAATAGAGAAATAAGACTAGATCAAAACATAACATTTTGTTAGTTGACTTCAAATTTTGATATAGAAAGAGAGTTGTATATAATCATGCTACCTGATCATAATAGTTTGACATAATATATTCACTGCAAAAATAACTTATTTTACATACGCATCACACTTAAAACTCAAGAATCATTTTTGTACATATAAATCATTCTTAAACTCAACAATTCATATGCTTACATCATTTTTTAATCCATGCTAACGTGGTCATAATAAATTAAGCGTTGTTTGCTAGAGCAATATATAATAATATAATAATAATAAGATACAAAACTTCGTGTTGTGCTAAAAACCCTCAATAATAACTTTATTGGACTATAATTCTATGAATACCAATGTTAACCAAATTCTTTGTCTTGTGCCTTAATGAGCCAAGTTTGTTAGATGGTCTAAACTTTTTCATTTTTGGGACGCAAAACATTTATATTTTTATAAAGAAGGTTAAATTTAATTGTGAAAGTATGTATATTTTTTAAATTAAAATTAGATTCATTTAGTAAAATAGGCTTCATATGATGTGGTCCAAATCTGATGTAACTTTAATGTTAGTTAATGTTCCTCCAAGGCCCAAGTATGCATTTATGCAGAGACCTGACTCCTGAGTTGGGCTTTTTTGTTATGCATTACCATTCTAAGTTTAACTGTAGTCCCGATATATATTTTAACTACTAAAACTTCTTTCTGAAAGGCTACAAGACCTATATATGATTATCCATATTTACAATTTTCTTTTTTATTTTAATTTTAAATATATTATTTTTTACGGTTTATGAATATTTGTTTTGTCGTTTGTTTTTGTTATTGATTTTTAAGTTTTCTTTTTTATTTTTTGGTTTATCACACATTTATAAGTGGCTTATTATTAGATTTATAGAATCGGGGGAAGAGGGTGAAGTCCTACAAGATGAAGCGCACCATAAGAGAGTGAGTCTAGTTGCACCACAGTGAAATCCTATCCCAAAACCAATTGGTGATAGGAGGAGTAGTCCACTAGGCTTATATACTAGACTCATTTTCCCTATAAAATCAATGTGGGACAACTCACAAGTGATATTCCAACACGCCTATATACTAGACTCATTTTCCCTATAAAATCAATGTGGGACAACTCACAAGTGATATTCCAACACGCCCCTTCACTTGTGCGTCCTTCGTAAGCCCAAACCCACATAGCAGACTAAGTAGAGAGATAAGCCCAAACCCAGAGCAGGCTAGGTAACAGACTGAGTAGAGAGATAAGCCCAAACCCAGAGCAGGCTAGGTAGAGAGAGTCATCGCAGTAGAGAGATAAGCCCAAACCCAGAGCAGGCCGAGTAGAGAGAGTCATCGCAGGTCCTAGGAAGGCCCGCTCTTATACCATATTAAATTTATAGAATTAGGGGAAGGGTGTGGTCCCACCAGATGAAGCGCTCCATAAGAGGGTGAGCCTAGTTGCACCATAGTGAGGTTCTATCCCAAAACCAATTGGTGATGGGAGGAGTAGCCTACTAAGCTTATATACTAGACTCATTTTTTCTGTAAAATCAATGTGGGACAACTCATAATTGATATTCCAACATTTATGGATGCTTTATTTTGATATTGTAGTTTTCTTTTTTTTTTAAAAAAAAAAAAAAAAATGGTTAATATGATTAGAGCCTTTAAACAGATTGAACAACTTATAAATCACTGTATGTCTAGTTAAGATTCAGAGTTAAGTTTGTTCAAATGAACTCATTTCGATAAAAACTCAAACTTAATATCATACTCCCTCGGTTTTTTTTAGATGTCGTTTTAATTTAAAACATTTAAATTACGATTTTAATGGGTTGTGTAATTATCTTATATACTAATCATCTTAAATTTAGTGTTTGAATTATTATTGGGTCGTTTTTAAAGATAATAATAAGAGAGAAAGTTTTTAGGTGATTCTGCTAAAATTTGTTAAAGAGGGTAAAGTTGTAAGAATGAAAAAAATATATTCGACGACAACTAATCTATATATATATATATATATATATAATTTCTGGCAAGCTTCAATAAATTTTATTCAGTCAGCAATTAATAATAATATGAGTTCATTTAATAAAAACAAATGTTCATTTAATAAAAATATGTTCACCATTTAATAATAATATATAACTATCAGTTACACAATTTATTTTGACAATTCCCATTTTGGATGATAGCAATTTTTTGTAACGCCTTTTTATGTCCTGAAATACAAAATATTTTTAATTTTATATCGATACTATACATTTTTTGGTATTATATAAATGCATATTTCACAATTAATTAAGAATGACTAAAAATATCTCTATTTTTATTGCAATCATACAATAATAAAAAAAATATTTTTTCAGATATTATAAAGATACATCAAATATTTTGAAAATCAAATCACAAAAGTCACGAGTTGAAAAAATTTAATAATAATGATTGTGATGGGGATTCTGACAATATGAAACCACAAATGTTGTATGTAAAGAAGTGTTTAATAATATTTAAATTTGTTTTTTTAAATTATTATTTTTTCATTTATTAAGCTATGATTTTTATTTTATTCTATATTTTTAATTACTCTCTTCTATTATATCGCTTTTCGTGCAAATGCACGGGGTAAAACTAGTTTGCAAAAAAATTGACATCCTACAACGACATGTAATAAAAAACAAAGGGAATATACTCTAACTCGGCTACACTTTTTTCACTCTGGAATAAGGGTGCAATTGAGTCGAGACGAGCTCAAGCTTGAGTTTGGCTAAGTCGAGTTCGAACTTCAACGAGCCAAAATTGAGTCGAACTATAAAAAATTGCTAAACGAGCAGAGTTGAACAGAAACCAAGCCTCAATGAGTCGAACCGAATTGGCAAGCGACTAGTTTAATTTAACATTGTACTCTTTAAGTTGCTAATTATTGAAAAAAGAAAGAAAGAAAGAAAGAAAGAAAGAAATAAAGGCAAATTTGCAATTTAATACACTACCTTTCACAGTTTTGCAATTTAATCACCACCTTCGTGAATTGACAAGTTAATCACGACCTTTACCTTTATTTGCAAAACGGACCACAACTCACGGTTTCGTTTACAGAATGCTGACTTGGAACTGACGGAAGTTTTGAGGGGTTGACGTGGCTTAGCTGGAATAAACGGTGTCGTTCGCACATAGCATATACCATGAATTTTGTTGCAAAATTGTTCATTTTCGTTCGCACATAAACCCTAATTCGCTTCAAGTAAATCCTCTTCAAACTCACCTGCAACAATATCGTCTGATTCGAACTATACTCGGCGTGTAGTGTGTTACCATGGATTGATCGCAGATGTGTTGATTGCAAACACAGAGAAAAACCCATCACAGCGATTTTACAGATGTCCAAATCAAGATGTAAGCTTTTCGATTTCGAAAATATAATGGCTCGATATGATTGCATATGAGAGTATGGTTGTTTGGAAAATTGAACCTTTGAATTTGCATTCTCATATTCAGTTTCCAGAATATAGCCTACAACACCACAATTTCATCTCACATGGAATAATACAAGGGGATGAGCTCTACCTGACGTCCATTACACACGAAATTTCTTCTCAAATGGGGCTTCGCCAATTCCTCGCGTCTGCAATTTTTGGATTTTCGAACATTTGAAATTAGGGATTTTGGAATTTAGAAGGGGATTACGGTTTTTAAGTTATGATTCAGCTTTTAGCATCGCCACGTCAATGCCACAGCATGGCCACGTCAACCCCTCAAAACTTCCGTCAGTTCCAAGTCAACATTCTGTAAACGGAACCGTGAATCGTGGTTCGTTTTGCAAAGAAAGGCAAAGGTCGTGATTTTTTTTTTTTTCCCGAAACGATAAATTATATTATAAATCAAAATGCACAGAAGTGCGAATACACAGCAGTCAACGACTGAATATACAGCAGTCAACAACTGAAAAAGTGGGAGGACAGGTCAGATGACCACCTAGAGTCCCGCTAGCAACGCTAGAAGAAAACTCGCAACTACAACTAACCAACTAAAACAACAAAAACAACTAACAACTGAAAGGACCCCAACAGAGTAATGCCCGAGTGTCTGATCCCAATAGGATAATAAGGTGACACTCAGGTTCGCAGAGACCAAACAGCCCAGACAAAAAACACAATCCTAAAGAAAAACACAAACACAAACCTAAGAGCAAGAAAAACAAAACACAAATACAAACATAAACATACAGCCTCCCCCACCAGATAAATCGAGATCGACGGCAGACAACCAACCCCAACGACGGCTCCCGAGCGCGAAAACAACCGCCCGCCACTGCGAAAAGCCTAGCAAGACGGGTACCCGCACCCCTGAACTAATCGAAGAGATGGCCCGCACTCCAATCACGTGAAGAAACCTTCACGGCTGGGCTTCACCGAGTCCGCCCGCCGGAAACCCCAACTATTCATCCCAGTCCTCCAGACCCATCTCGCCAAAGAAGAACCGAAAGGTCCCGCCGATCATGGACAAAATAAAATACCGAGACAAAAACAGCAAATTCAAGGGCCAACCTCCAATTGACAAAGCAAAGTGTCGAAACCGAAGAAGCCCCTTCCGTTCGCCGCTTCGCCGGCGAAAGGGCACGGTCCTGAGCGGCAGCAAGAAGGGTGGTCAAGGTGAATAATCAGCGACCCAGCCAAAGCCAATAGCAGCGCACCCAGCCTCGCCCATGAAACAGCCCCGCAACCCAACCTTCACCGACAACGCCTAGTCTCCGGCGACCACCAAGGGAGCACCTCCGAAGGCCGGCGCGCGATCCAGAACCAGACTTCAGCAAAAGAGATGAGGGCAGCACCGCCATGGGCGAGCGACAGAGGCCATCCACCGACGGACCCGGTCGTCCGGCAAGGGAGATTTACCGCAATCCAATTCCTGAAAGTAGTGATTAAATTGTAAAATTGTGAAAGATGGTGCATTAAATTGCAATTTTGCCATAAATAAATAACATCTCCAAAGTCCAAACATATATGCGGTCATCTCTATCGCAAAACCACCCATAAACCCCACCGCACAACCGCCGGCGATGGCAATTGGCGCCACAACCACCGCCTTCTCATCAATCTCCGCCAGTACGACTCTACCGTCACTCGTATTCTCCTCTATCTTCCGCCGGAGCTTCTCCGCCCCTATAAACCTCACGTACCCGTTAGCCACCAAGCGCTCGCCCTTCCGGAGCATTCGCAAGTACCACGCCGTCAATGCCGTAAACAAAAACTTAAGCTTCGAATCTCCTTCATCTCCAGATGTTATCTCGAAATCTTCATCACCAAATTCCAATAATTGGTATTCAACAGTTCACTGCATTTTTTCTTTTCCATCTATCTTACAAGCCTCTAGAGTAGGGAATTGTTGCCGGCGTATGCTTAAATTGATGTTGTTAGGAAATCGTTTGAAATATTCATGGGTTTTTTGACACTAGTTCCAGGACGTTGTTCATCTGGTAAAACATAAATAAGCTTACCAATAGTAAATGTGCTATCTGCGGTTCTAAATATTCAGGACACCAATTCAATTTGTGTATATATCTTATACATTTTAGGTGAAATCTGTAGAAAGGACTGTAGATTTGAGAATAAAAGTCTGGATTCAGTAAATTAAGGTGCACCTAGAGCTTTCAAGAAACAAACTACCCGTGAGTTCGGCTTGTTAGGGCTCGAGAATAGGGTTTTGCGTAATTTTTGAGTTTTTACCTTAGCTTAGCTCGGCTCGTTTAGTTAACAAGTCATGCTCGGCTTGTTTACACCTCTATGCATGCATCAAAATCATAATAGAAAAATTGTGTGTTTATATAATGGCAAAATGTCTACAATATGTGTTTGTTGATAATAATTTCACGTTCAAATTGTCCTTCATTTTGTTTGCATGTTGGATTAAATCCTTACAATTTTTGCAAATTGCATGCCATAAAATGGGTTTTCAGCTATCCTCCATATGTTCGTCTTCTTCCTTGCCCCTCCCAGAATGGACCTCCGAGGGTCGAACACTTGGTTGTTTCAGAAGGCGGACCTGCACTTGGGTATATATGTAAAGCTCTTGATCTCCCACCACTGTGAGTTTCTATTATATGTTGAATTTTTTTATCTGAAAAATGAGAATGAGATTCCCAATTGAGATTTTTGTGTTCTGTCCGTGAAGATATGTTGCAGATCTTATTCGTTTTGGAGCTGTTTTTTATGCTCTCGTATGCCCGGACCCACCCGCAACTGCCACACCTGAGCAAATAAAAACTTTTAAGAAATACACAGACCCGTTATTTCTGAGGCAAAGATCGTCTATTAAAGGGAAGACCAAACGGGAAGCTCAAAAAACTTTCCGGATAACTCGCGCGGATGAGTTTGTCGAAACCGGAACTTACTTACGAGTGCACGTACACCCAAAGCGCTTTCCGAGGTAGTCGTGGATGTATTTTATTTTTTATATTTTTTCTCTTTAATCCTATTATACGTCGGTTTAAATTGATATGTGTAGCTAATAAATAATAATACTGATGCATAATCTTCTCTGATTAGGTGTTATGAAATCGACTGGAAGTCTCGAATCATTGCTGTGACCGAAAACTATGTTGTTTTAGATAAACCTGCAGGCACATCGGTATGTGTTTGATCCTTTTAATGATGATGATCATGCCTTGTAATGTGATAGAGAAATAGTAAAATAACGATTGGTAGTTACAAATACGTGAACATATGAATAATGTTAAAACTTAAAACCCTTGTTAATCAACAACTGGCTCGTGTTTTGGTTTTATAGTAAAGTTATTTATGGTAGGTAAATAACTCGTTAATTTGCTTAACCCAAAAGATTATTGTTTGTCCCTCTCCCTTCCATATTTCTTCTTTTGTAAAAAGATAAACTATCAGCTCTCAGTTTTATAAATCATACGTCTATTTTGCTCTTATTGTGTTGAATTTAGTCCTGAGTGTTAACTTCTAATATCTTTCTCACCTTTCACTGAACTTCTAAGCTGCAGTTTGATCAGCTTAATTTCCATTTCTGGGTCTGATATGGTGAAATGTTGATTACAGACACAGAACTTAAACATTGCATCATTTGGATTCATTCTATTTTTTATTTCCATTTGTTTCTTTAATGAGCTATATTATGAAGCAAGTCCATCTCTCTCGTTTAAGATTCCCTATAGCCCATTTTAACTTTGGTCAGGTTGGAGGAACAACTGACAACATAGAAGAAACTTGTGCAACATTTGCTACTCGTGCCTTAGGATTAGAAGTGCCATTGAGGACTACACATCAGATTGATAATTGCAGTGAAGGATGGTGAGTCCCAAAACACGCAAACTATTATATTTGCACTTATAATACAGTTATTGCAATAGAAGCAGAATATTTAGGTTTTCTATTATTTGTTTGCACTTTGCAGTGTAGTGTTTGCAAGAACGAAGGAGTACTGCTCTGTTTTCCATGGAAAAATAAGGGTTAGTGATAAAATTTTATGTTTTTTCTTTTCTTGCTTAATACAGAGAAGAAGCATTGTTTTAAGAGGGCAATGAACTTGTCAATTTTCGAGAATGTATTTCCATATTAGGAACTATTTCGCAGGAAAAGAAGGTGAAGAAGCTTTATCTTGCACTGGTGGCTGCTCCTATGCCAATTGGGGTAATTGCCCACTACATGCGTCCCGTTAATATCGCGCCCCGTCTTATTTCCGAAGGTAACATTAAACTCATTAACTATAAAGAACAAATTATACGTTATTATTTGGTGAGGCAAAAAATGCATTTTTAGTTCTGTCGGTTTAACGCCATAACAATTTTAGTCCCAAGGTTTCATCTTTTTGTCTTTTGGTCCTATGATTTAATATTTTGCTGCATCAACAAAATATTAAATCACGAGACCAAAAAACGAAGTGTGAGAATCTTGGGATTAAAATTGCTATGGCGTTAAATCAGCAGGACTGAAAATGCAATTTAGCTTGTTTGGTGGAGATGAATGTCAAACCTCGTTTACTTCCATTCCTCTGAGTATAAATCCGAAGCTTTCATGGTGCTTGCAGATTTCAACAAAGGTTGGCAGTTGTGCCAACTTGAGGTCCTAGAATGCAAAAAAGTGCCGTGGCCGGATCGTAGTACTGAAGAGAAGAATGGAGTCGAGGATTGTGGATGGCCTTCTAAAGATTTCGCATATGAGTGTAAAATCAACCTCCTCACGGGCCGAACACATCAGGTACTAAACTACTAATCCGTAATTACGACCACAAAGACACAATTTAATATAAGATTCTTTGTTTGGCAAAAATGCATTTTTAGTACTGTTGGTTTAACGCCATAACAATTTTAGTTCCAAGATTTCTACATTTTTGGTCTGTGACAAATATTTTGCTGCAATTCCAGTCATTTCAGAACTGAAATTGCAATGATATTTAAATTACAGGACTAAAATTGCAACCAAATTTTAAATTACATGACTTAAATTGCTAATAAAAATTTGAGAATTTGGGAGGACTGAAATTGCAACAAAATATTAAATCACAGGTCCAAAAGGCAAAATGTTAATGTTGGAACCTTGAGAATAAAATTGCTATGGCTTTAAACCAGCTGGACTAAAAATGTATTTTTGCCTTCTTTGTTTTTGTCTTGCTTCTTCGTTGTTTCTTCAAAAAGTTGTTTGGTTTCTATTTATTTAATTTTGGTAAAAAAAAAAATAAAATGTAGATTCGAGCACAACTGGCTGCTTGTGGGGCTCCCTTAGTGGGTGACTCGATGTATATGCCAGCTGCCATTGCTGAGGCTAACTGCCCGGGATTGAACCCGTTTGGCAAGCACAACCAAAACAAGTATAATGAAGATGACGAGGCAAAATCACTAGCTGTCGAAGAATGGATTGCCTGTCATGGCAAGGAGCCGACTGTTGCTATTGGCCTTCAAGCATGTTATATATCATGGGATGATAACGGGCCCCACACTTACGAGGCTGGTTCACCATGGTGGAGGTAAAAATAAATTACATCATGGAAAATGCTGAAAAAAGAAGCAAGTAATCTTATCTGTATTGTTTTTTATTTGTTTATTTATTTATTTTTCCGAATAATATCTTACCACCATTTTTTTCTGCATGGCAAGGTAAATTCTCGAGCTTGACTTCTGAAGTTACCTGTAAATAACCAAGTAACCGACCAAGGTAATTCTCGAGCATGCCAAATTTTGGTTATCAAAATATCTGCACTTGGCTGTATTATTGCAATTGAAGATCTGGCAAAAAAAGGTTGGTGTTTTTTTTGGGACCAAAAGGAAAAGGGGGAGAAAAACCGGAAAAAAAAAGTATCCTTAGCATCTGGTCCATGTTCATGCTGCCCTATAGTGTTTTACCAGTTCTACCGGCTTTGTGTTTTGCTGTCGAGAGCCCGGTTTCGAATACAGACGAAAGTAGGCAAGAAATTATTAATGGTGTTTTATTTTACCTAAATCCTGAGGTTTCTACTTTTTCTGGACTCAAAATCTTTGTACCCGACTGAGCGAAACCAAACGTCGTGAAAACAAGAGATTCATTTTTGTACTTTGGAGTGTTTAATCATGTTCTTGGTACCTTTTTAGGGAAGGTATTGATGACCCTTGTTAACCATTGTTACTGCTGTTGTGATCTTAGCAGTTTATAATTTTTTACATTGCAAAATTTACTGCGACGTTACTACTTATTCTTTGTCATATGTATTTTAATTTTCGTCATCATTTTAGATGAATACATTAGTAATCTACCTGTTCATTTGCACAGAGAAGAATACTTTAAAAAGATAACAATATAAAAATAAATAAAAAATAAATCAAAATTTAATTTATGAAAAAAAAATGAATTAAGAAAATAATTTTCAAAATTGATTTTGATCAAGTAATTGCTATGGAAGAGTCGTTACAACCATTTTCTTTATGCTAATATATTCGGCCATTTTCATGAAAGGTGTAACTTAAAATTTGAGTACAATTTTATAACTCCATTGATTGGTTTATGTTCATAATTTATAACATTCAAACAAGTTATTTTGTAACTTAAAAATGAAATTGAATGATGAAAATTTTGGAGGGAAAATAAAATTTAATGCATGATAATATAATTTAATGTTTTGTTTCTCCTCTTTATATATATATATAGATTAATATGAATTAATTTATGTTTTAAATGAATATGCTATCAACTGTAACGATTACCAATTTACATGATGCAATACCATGTAAGGATAGCAAATTAGTGTATTTTTGGATGCACTTTTGTAATGAACTTTTGACTATAAAAGTCCATTTACTGTATAAAAAGATGTTTGGTGCAAATAACAAAATGAACTTTTAAAAAAGTAACTCCCATAAAAAGTCCATTTCAAAGAAGTTTACATTGAAAACTTCTTGAGAAGTCACTTTTCAAAAAGTCCATCTTAAAATGTACTTCTCAATAAGTGTTTCCAAACAAGCCCTTAATAATTATGAGTTATTGGTAGTTGAAAAATATGTGAGTGAATAAATATCTCTCCCTATATATTATTTCAAAACATGTTGAGCCTAAGTGGCAGATTCTTACGGTTTGGATGCTGACATGGTGAAAATCTATGCTTCGTAATGTTGTTTATATATTAATATTTGCTCGGGAGTTAGACTGGTACTAGACATAAATAACTTTTTTCAAACTTGGTAAGTATATATTTAATTTTGTTGTTTTTCTCTCTTAATACACATTTTCTTCTTAATTTGGGCAAGTAAGAATCTTACCATATTATAATTTTCTCTCATATTTCTTTCTTAAATTACGATTTACAAATCACTTTCTGCACTGTTTAATCTTTTTTTTTTCCATCAATTGGTCCATCAAAATTTTTAAATAAAAAATTTATTTCAGCAATACCTTTATCATATATTTCTTAACTCAAAACTCGTGTAGTACACGGGTATTATACTAGTTATATTTATTAGAAAATGTGTAAAAATGATTGAGGAGAAAAAAGTATAATGGATAAAAAATGAAGAATTATGGTACTTTGATCTGATTTGAATTATAAAAAATTATATAAAAATAACTTTTTCAAGTCTTAAAGAGTTGANNNGCGTTTCGAAAAAAAAAAAAAAGAGTTGAGTCGAGACAAGTCCAATTCATTGACTAAACACTTACATAGAGTGGGATCCACTTGATTTTATTTTTAGTAGGCCCTACTTAATGTTAATGTTATGTATACCTCTATGCATAATATTATGTATCTATAACATTTCTCTTTGTATAATAGGGTAAAAGTAAACTATGAAGTGAAAAAATTGTGTGGACTGAGGACGTAATATGGGTAAATATTTGGGGCCAAAACATAAAAAGTTGGAAAAAAAAATGAAGCTAAACTGCACACGCAAGCTCAGACTGGCCAACAGCTCTGCTCCCCTCTCCTCTGCAACACTCTTCCCATTGCTCAAAGACGGGTCCTTCTTTCTCCGTAAGTGCTTCTCTCTCTCTCTATTACTAATATATATTATATATAGCGTGTATATATGTAGTAAATTTGTCAGGTCTTCTGTGTTTTCTCCTCGAAATGTTCGTTCTGTGTGCGATCCGATCTCCGTCTCCGTCGCATATGCCGGTCGATTAAGGTACACGGTTTTGGTCCGGTTGTTAATGGCGATCCATTCATTTGGGCTCTGAGTAAATTGTTCTTCTGGGCCCGTTTTTATGAAAATTAGGGTTCTTCAGCTGGATTTCCCCCGCTGCCCCTTTTAATCAATGAATTTCTTGTTATAGATGAATGAGTACACAACAATGCAACGGTTGTGTCGCCGAAAAATCAAGTTTTTGCTGTGTTTATGTGTTTGTTAAATTGCCACTACCCTCTTTTCTGGTTTATGTGTTTGTTAAATTGCCGCTGTAGAAGAAATTAGGGTATTGTTTTTAGTATTGGGGGTTTCTTATCTCCAACCCATCTGAAATCTTATGATAATTTCGCTCATTTGCTCTTCCATAACCAGATTTTGTATTGAAAAGCTGTTAATCTTTAGTCATCTCCTATTTCTAAAACTCGCAAGCTTTTTTATATATCATTGTTTTTCAGGCACAAAGGCTTCTAGGTTCTCTCTGCGCGTGTCCTGTCCTCTTCTCCAAACCCTACTCTCAAATATATGTATACATAATCCACAATCTTTATCCAAGAAAAGAAAAAGATGGAGGTCAAGCTATGGAACGACAAGCGCGAGAGAGAAATGTACGATAATTTCGCAGAACTCTTCGCCATCATAAAGTCCACCGAAAAGCTCAAAAAATCCTACATTCGTGACATCGTCTCTCCATCCAAATACGAATCCGAATGCCACAAACTAATCGCCCACTTCAAAACCCCATCAACCCTCAAAGAAATCGTCCCTAGCATCGAGCATTTTCACGAGACCTACAAAATCGACTGCCAGGCCGCCCTCAGCCGCCTCGTCACTTCTGGCGTGCCCGCCACCGTCGAGCACCGGGCGGCCGCCGCCCCTTCTCCGGCGAACTCGGCGGCGGCAGTGGCTGAGTGTGTGCAGAACTTCATAACGGCAATGGACTCTCTGAAGCTGAACATGGTGGCCGTAGACCAGGTGCACCCGTTACTCTCTGACCTATCAGCTTCACTCAATAAGCTGGCAATACTTCCACACGATTTTGAAGGGAAAACGAAGATGAAGGAGTGGATCGGGCGGCTTTCGAAAATCGGGGCAGCTGACGAGTTGACCGAGCAGCAATCCCGACAGCTGCACTTTGACCTCGAGTCGTCTTACAGCTCGTTTGTGGCGGCATTTCCAACTGCCGGTACGTGATTTTGTTTGATGGTCTTCTTGTAAATAAGTGAGTATATTCGGATTTCGCTTTTTTTTTTTCTTAAATTTTTCGATGTTTTGGGAATTGGATCTAGTTGGATTTTCCTTAGGAGGTAATTTGTTTTTTTGAGAGTGAAGTTGCTGAAAATGTGTTTTGGACATATGGACTGGGTTGATGTTTTGGGTGTGTGTAAGGAATGTGATTGTCTTGTATTATTGAGGTGCATTTGTGATGATTGAAAAAACATTTATCTTTTGTGGTATATATATGTGACTCTTAAATTACATTATTATCTGAGTTTAGACACTATTCTCCCTTTATGTGTGTGTGTGTGTGTGTGTTATCTCATTCTATATAATCAGGGCTTTTGCTAGATTTACTAAATTATGAACTTAACAATGGGGTCTTTGCTAATTTGGTCAGTTTGTGTTGAACAGTGTGGAAATATAGTTTTTTGATCTTGTTTTGCACATGATTAGAGCCCTTCTGTTCTTGGTACTTCATTTGATTTGATATATAATGCCTCTTATTTTGGGTTAGATGATGATAGTGTTTAGTGTTTCCCTTGCAGCCTTAACTTCGTGGTGCTTCCTCTATTTATCTGCTAGCTCTGATAAATGATATATGTGATGTCTGTATAATATAGACCATTTTAATTCATGTGATACTTGAATTGTATCATCTAATTAATTTCAATATTGTAATGAACCAACGTTGTAGCCCATCACGGTACGTTGGCTTATTGTGATTTAAATGGACCAACTTTGGCGGTCCTTGATTATCTAATTATAAATATGTTGTTGCAAGAAGTAAGTTGATCCCATTAAATTCTATTTACAATCTAGATAAATCACAGTATGTTAAACCTAATATTTTGGGGGTGAAATTCGCAATTATTCAAAATAAACGAATAATGAATGAAAAGTATGAAAAATAAAAATAATATTAAATATTAATTTTGCTCATCATCATCATCATATTGTGCTTCCTGAGGTTTCAAATTGAATACCAATTGCATGATAAAAGAAACAACCATACAAACCTTAATGCTTATGTGTTGGTGAAATGTATCTATTTTGTAAAAACTCATTTATTGCTTCTAACTGATGGCAATAATTCTATGTAGCCAGAGCTGACCTCACAAAAGTAAAGTATGTATAATGATTACAGGCCCTATATTTCTGATGCAAGCAATTGATTTCACATCTATTTCATTATCATTTTTTTTTTAAAAATTTAAATTAGATGTTTAAGTTAATGTTCTATTTCATCCTCAACAGTTTTCTGTTTGGATTTGTCAATTTTATATCAACATTAAAATGAAAAAATAACTACTTATATTGGGGCTACTACCTAGTACCTATGGTGAAAATTTCTCTATTGACATAAAATAAAACTTAAATTTATCTGATAACATTGACTTCAAAATAATTAATGAGGCTATTATACATGTTAGAAGTCCAATACAGAAATGGATGCCAAGCATCAAATATAGGCTAATGGTTGGTCTACTAAAAAAAAGAAAAATCAGATTTGCATATGCCTTTCATGCAAAACCCTTCATAAAAACCTCTATAACTAACAAAACCAACTTTCTAATCCACATAAAACCAAAAAACCCATCTTCTAACCCTAAAAAACACTCCCAAGTATAATAGTTTCCACAATCATCTCCAAATATATATATATATATATTAATAACAAAAGAATTCACGAATACCACAATCATCAATCACTGCGCCATTTTCGGTCATTTCATGAAGCATCGCATAACATGGAGCCACATAATCCGGGTCACCGCCACCTAGGACGACGTTCATGGTGGTGATGTCGACAGGGGCATAGATGACGTACGAAGCCGTGGGGTCCACACAGCTCTCTTGGAGTATCAATATGTTGCTCTGGCTCGAGTTTGTGCTCTGCATTTGCATGCATGCACGTATCAAATTTTGTTATCAGAAGTATTTTTTTTTTGTTTATTTATTTTTTTAAAAAAGGAATTGAGTTTGTTGACTGACTTACGTTGACGCGGAGCAAGGAGACGGAGTTTCCCGGGTCGCGGCCGTTGGCAATATGGGCCATTTCTTGAACCAGCCCGCCGTTGGAAAGGATGTCCCACGGCCACTTGTGGACAATGGAGAATTAGAGGAAATAGATTAGATGAGTTTATTTATTTTAAATTTCANTTTTTTTTTTTTTTTTTTTTGAAAGGTTCACAATTATGAGCCAACTTTTGAATGGGAAGACAATATTCAATATCATTTCTACAAATAAATAGATTCTTGATAATGAACGCACATTATTAATATACTTTAATTCATATTTAGTTATTATATGTTGATAATATGAGATGGTGTTTCTATGTCAGTACATTTCAGATTAAACTACTGAAGTGGGTGTTTTCCCATTTTGGCTTAAGGAACTTATCTGTACGGACTTAGGTTCTGTTTGATTATTAATGATAAGTTTCTTTTCTAGTAATATATATATATATATATATATATATATATATATACATATATTGTTTTTGAAAATACTCTAAAAATAATTTCTAGAATAAAGTCCTGTGAATATTCCTTGTTTTCCATATCCAACCACTCCTTAATCATATAAGTAACATTTCTTTATTGTTTTTGAAAATACTCTAAAAATAATTTCTAGAATAAAGTCTGGTGGATATTCGTTGTTTTTCATCCAAGTCTTCCTTAATCATATAAATAAGGAGAGACCAGGTGTTTCTAACTTATATTTGCATCGAATATCTTAGTAAATTATATTTCCACCGAATATCAATCAGTCATAAAGTCCGCTCGTAACTCATTTTGAATATGTTCAAATATGTATGTGATTAGACTTCTTTTTCCAATTTGGTTCCAAGTCTTCCTTAATCATATAAATAAGGAGAGACATTTTGAATATGTTCAAATATGTATGTGATTAGACTTCTTTTTCCAATTTGGTTCCAAGTCTTCCTTAATCATATAAATAAGGAGAGACCAGGTGTTTCTAACTTATATTTCCATCGAATATCTTAGTAAATTATATTTCCACCGAATATCAATCAGTCATAAAGTCCGCTCGTAACTCATTTTGAATATGTTCAAATATGTATGTGATTAGACTTCTTTTTCCAATTTGGTTAAGTTCTTGAACCGTGGAAGAACTTCCGTTGGAAATGCAGTGTTCGAAGACAAAGGTTATCGGAAAAAGGGTCATATGAAAGTGTAATGAATTTATTTAATGTCTATTCATTCCCAAAATGACATAAGCCCATTACTCTAGTCCACAAAGAAAAAAAGAAATGTAAATTAAATAATAATATCACATTTTAAAAATTTTGTCATTAGTAAAAATAAACATCATAAAAGAATTCAATTTCATCACTATATTGATTGTATAAAAAAAATGAATAATGTAGTTTTTTTGAATTTGAGAGATCCTGACTTATTAGTTATCTTTGAAATTATTATTATTAATATTATTTATGAATTTTAAGAGGCTTGCTTATACCACTAAAGCTAAATAGCTTATTAAAAAAATGCTTAAGAGAAATAAATAGTTTAAGGAAAAATTTTGCAATATAATTTTTTTGTACTTATTGAATTTTCATATATCATTTAATGTGAATTATAATTGGTTAGTTTTAGTAATGACTATTATATAGTAAAATAAATAAAAACATGATCACAATTTAATGAACCATTGCTAAAAAAAAGTTATTGATTAAGGTTCAGTTTTTAAAAATATTATTAGATGGTAACGGAAAACTGTGAAAAAATCAAATAGTTTTATTAAACTTTCTATTAGCAATTATATATATGGATCAAATATTCATTGATTAGTGAGTTGTTTAAAGTTTTAATTAAAAGAAAAAAATAATAAAGTAAACATGTTTTTGTAATCTCTTTTGGAGAGAAAATAAATGAGGTTTTATTAATTATTTTCCTAGCAATTATATATATATAAATTACGTGCAATAAATCACGTTAATCAAACCAAGAAAAATACATAAATAAAATAATAATTCACAACTTAAAGGAATTGCAAATTTTAAATATGCAGATAACAGAGGTGACTATAAAAACTACAAATTTACTTGTGAATTGCAGCAGCACAATTCTTCATCAGCAAAAACTAACAAAGGTCAAAGCTTTACACGGCCCTCCTAGTCTTAGTTCCACCAGAAGGCACAAAAATTAAAAAAATATAAAATAAAATAAAAAAACACAGATAAATAAAAATAAAAATAAAAAACAATAATTTTTTGCACCATTGTCACATTCAATGCCTTGGGCATCCAGGAAAAAAAAAAGTCCGATGACATTCGAGAACTTTGACCGGTCAAGGGAGTTTTCGGCTACTCTCACGCCACTTGGATATTCGCAGGATTTGAACCGCTCTCGATGAATTTGGATTTCGATTTTCCCCTTCTTGAAGTCCTGGACGAACAAGAAGCGCTCGATTTTGGTGAAGAGGTTGACTTTGACTTCTTACGTTTCTCCTTCTTCTTGAGAGTAGGAAGTTCGGGTGATGGCATTGGCATATCCTTAAAAGACTCCGATTGTTGGCCCGTGGACTCGCCAAAATCTGTTTAGTGAAAGGGAAATCAAGAAAAATATATAGCATTTCTTTTTGAAATTGCATTTAGACATATATAGGGACCACAAAAAATGTGGTAATAATTGACAAGCTTTGGTTGGGATGAAAATTTTCGCGAGTTGCTGGAATTTTAAAGGCACAACAAGCAATTTATGGTCGAGTTATTGCCATGTTTGCAGAATAAAAAATATAAGGTAGTTAAACAAGACGACATTACAATACTAAAATCCTTGGAATTTCACGAACTCGTGCAAGTAAAAAGAGTAGATTACCAAGATTAATGGCGCAAGAGTTTGAGTAATCTACACTAGACAAGTTTATAGTTTGTCCGGGTGATTCCAATAGAGGCCCCCATGGTTTTAACCTTATTACATACTCCAATTACCTTTTGAAAATTACAAATGCCCCTTGGTAAACACAAAACCTCATCTCGAGTATTGATAATATTGAAAGATAATTCATAAGTGGTTGAAGCTAAATCTCAGTATAGTTTTTGCACCATGTACAATTGCTCAAAAGGTCCCCAAATACCGTTCTTTAGATGAAACGCACGTCTCAAATCCAATAGCACCAGTTTACACAACAAAAACACTTGCTTGGGAAGAAAACAGAAAATGAAAAGAAAAATGAAGATGAGCATGAGACCAAAGATGCTAAAGAGTAAAGAATCATACCATGAGAAGACCACGGAGAAAGAGCCGAGCCAGATTTACCAATCGAGCTCGCTGCAAAATCGGCCCCTACCCTGAATTCATTCATCTACAATATTCCCCCACCCAAAAAAAACAAGAATCAAACAAAATGAAGTTAGGCATATAGACAAGGAAAAACATCAAATTNAAAAAAAAAAAAAAAAGAAGATAAAGATAAATCAGGAGTACTCGTGCTCTAGTGCTCTAATCCTTAACGGTAAATTTCATCCTACTCACAAATGTAGTATCGAATTTACCGTGGTTAAAATCCTCGAATTCACGGTAGGGTCGAGTTTGATTCAGCTTGTACTTAAAATTACAAATAATATAGATGCATAAAAAAGGCATACCCAAGTGGGTGCACCTCCAGAAGGGCCTTCCCAGCCAATGTGAGCGACATGCTTCACATCTGTAGGGTTTCCAATTTCCATCTCACGCTCCTTCACAACTATCATAAAAATTTAAAAAAGATTCAATTTTTATTCCAGCCCAGATAAAGAAATTACTAGAAAAGCTCAAGAATATTTCAATAATAATAAAAAAAAAAAGTAAATGTATATGCACAAAAGGGTGTTTTACCAAAGATTTGAGACAGAGTATATTTAAATCCTTTGCAAATCCTTTTCATTTTAGTTCCCATCAGCCAAAGGAATTAAAAGATTCAATTTTTATAGCAGCCCAGACAAAGAAATTACTATAAAAGCTCAAGAATATTTCAATAAATCAAAATAATAATAAGAAGAAAAAAAAAAGCAAATGTATATGCACAAAAGGGTGTTTTACCAAAGATTTGAGACAGAGTATATTTAAATCCTTTGTAAATCCCCTTCATTTTAGTTCCCATCAGCCAAAGGAACCACCTTTCACTAGGATATAAAGCAAAATGCAGAAGAAAGCACCGCAAGATTTCCCAAGTATTGCTCCTTTGCCTATTTCAAAAGGTAAACGCGTGCAATAGTTAATTACAATCAATAAGAAATCAATATTTTTCCCCCCTTTTCACCACCCTCACAACGAAAATCTACAAAAAGCTCAAGAATTTAAGGATAAATTTGCACATATATATTCAGAGTCGCAACAATTTGCATCACCAATTCTTTTGCCATAAAGAAATTGACATATCCAGAAGAAAAGCATAAAGGGTCCTCAAAAAAAAGATCCCTTTTTTAGGTTACCCCAAATCAGAGAAAAGTACCATAAAACGAAAAAAAAAATAAAAAAGCAAACAAGAACCTTTTTAGATAGAAATTGAAATGAAACAGGGAAAAAGGGGTTTCAATGGAGAAGCTTCTTCTCCAAACATCCTGGCTACAAACCCCATTTGCCTTCAAAAGCTGCTGGAAAATTATACATAGTGCAATAAGCATGCATGTAAGAAATCAGAGAACAAATCAAAAAAATCCAAAATGTTGATTAGAAAGGAAAAATAGATAGGTCGACGGGGAAATGTGGAATGATTTTGGGGGAAATTATAGATTGTGGGCTAACGGTGGCTTTATCTTAAGAGGCAAAAATTGATTTCTTGAGGTGAGAGGAAGATGAAAGAGGTAACAAAATAAATAAACCATTGAAAGAACAAAAAATAAACAAAACTCCCAAAAATAGGGTGAGGTGTGAGGAAAAATAGTTTTCCACTTTCCAACTACTCTGTCCAACAAGGATAATTGTAATATAAATAAAGAATTTACTATATAAATATGAAAAAATAAAGATAAAAAATAATGTTGTTACATTGTACAATTGTAAAAAAAAAAAAATTTATAAATTAATGTGTATCATAAAATATTACAATTTTATGTTTATTACATTTTAAAATATGATATTTGAGTATAAAAATATCTATATTTGCTAGAATAATATGATTTTCTAAAAGCATTCCAACACAAGATTTATAGGATTTAATATTTTTTGGTTTTTGATCCAATTTCTTCAAATATTGTTGTATTTGAAGATATTGTTTTCCTTTTATTCTAGTAAAAAAAAAGTACAATGATACATGTTATATTTGATGGTAAATAATTTCTTCAATTTTAGAAAAAAATAAAAAATAAATCTTCAGGATCATGCTCTTGTCCAACTTATTTTCCTAAAATGTTGATTATTTGTTTTATTAACTAACTTATTTAGCAACTAAAACATTGTCATCTGTAAATGATATGTACCCGTTTAGCTGACCAAGTAACTATTCAGATCATCATTCAATAAATTTTATTTATGAATAACAATTAAAATAATCAACCAAGTCATAATCCTAATAAGTGAGATGCATCCCAACTGTCACAAAAATAAGAATTTATTAAGTTATGAAACTTATGAGTGTGTTTGTGCCTTTGTGGTCATCCACACTAACACACAGAATCTCTTGTGAATTAATATTGTATTTAATATGCAAATGGAAGTTTTTTTAATTATTAATTGGTATTGTTTGGTTCCATGCTCACATCACCATTTTGCTTTGAGAATATAATTCCATTTAATTTTTATATTCTTATCATTTTAATTTAATATTCCTTTCTATAATTTATCTATTTATTTCCCTTTATATTTTTTTTATATACGTCATTTGTGGACTCGTATGTTTGTTAGTGGATCAGTGTTGAATTAGCAGATTGATCAATAGAATTCTTGAATTAACTTATTTGATAATTAATTTATTTGATTAGTTTTTTACCCTAAATGTTAACTCTCAAAATACTATTAGAAGAAAACGTTTTGGGAAGGAAATGTTCAAAGAAACAAATACGACATACCAAACTATAAAATTATGTTATTTACCAAACACTTATTTAACAAACTATAATAAAATTTGCTAGTTAAATTAATTTATATAATTAGTTATTCTCCATTTTCAATCAACTATATATTAGCTAATTAACAATCAAACAAAGTCATAATTTTGCTAATCGTTAATATTTTGACATGCTTTTTTTTCTTTTTCTTTTTCATTATTGTGACCACGTTTTGGTGTTTCTGTTGTTTCCAGCACAGCATCGCAATTATATCTTAATTCTGAAAATAGGAAGTTTGTTCAAATTGTTTTTGCAACTTTTTGTATTCTTTTATTTATTTAGGGAGAAGATTTCGTAGAGTGACGAATGAATTAAATATTAACGAAAAGTTTGTTGGTGACATTTATTTTGGTGAGATCAATCTAATAAATGGGTGTGCTGTTTGGTATTTTCGAATTGGACCATACCAATCACGAGAGTACTGTGGCCCAATAATTTTAATCCTATGGGCCAACATAATTTTCATTTTCAGTTATAATGGCCCATGTCTTTATAAAGTTTGTTGGATCACCCGTATAATTTTGTGACAAGGTACACTTGTTGCTTTTTTTTTTTTTTTTTTTTTTNCATTTACCGATTTTTTTTTAATTAGAACGATAAATTTTATATCTCAAAAGATGAATTTAAAAAAAAGACTCAGGGACTAAGTAGTCCAACGAATCCACCAAGAAGGCAAACTCAATAGAAATACTGACAGAGCAACCTAGACAAACAACACAAATCATTGGAATAGGATCCATGCATCCATGACAGCGTTGACAGTAGATGAACCCGGCTAGCTGGGAACCTCATCTCAACAAAACTAAAACGAACACTCACACAAAGGAAGAATATCAAATTCCAACAAAAGGAGAATAACACGAAAAATAACAAAACACACACCTAAATCAACTAAAAAATACTACCTCCTCTAATCTACACTAGCAACCTCAAACAAAAACCCAGCGCAACACACAAGCGAAACCCACAAGAAGCCAACCCCAGGAGAAACACTACAAAAGCTACAAAAATCGACCCCAGAACTGTAAAAGGAGGATTTTTTTTTTTCGGCTAATGAGCAGAGGAGAAATGAAAAATCGCTTCACAATTTCTTTTAATATTTATCGAATTATTTGTCAATAATATCATTTGTCATATATTTTTATTTGGAAAAGAGGTAAATTTGTAATCCTATGTACTCTATAGATTTTTGATAAAATACAAGCTAAATATCTTATTTTTGCAATCTTAAAATGCAAGTTAAACTTTCTGAGCATTCATAATTTTCAAAATTTCATATTTGTAACCTCTAGCGCATCTCCACCTCCACCGCACATGCGTGGTTTTGCGTATAATTGTATGGTCAAAATGGACTTAAGATGTTGCTTTTTGTGGTATTGGAGATAAAGGAGAAGATGTCAAATCAGCAAACACAAGTACAACTATGAAGGTTTTGCCTGCCCCCATGGATGATTAAAGAAGGGATGAATGACTCTCACGAAAGAGCAACGTAGAGAGGCCAGCAAAGAGATGAAGATGGAAGGGAGTCACGGGACACTGAAAGCTTCCGAGCTTTTTGATGACAAAAAATCCACAATTGCTGATGACAAAGTTAAGAAAATGCAGGATGCATATATCAAAGCTTATTATGATGCTCTACTAAAGCGCCAACGTGAACTAGAAGAAACGGTCAAGAAGAACAGGAGTCAGCGTAGAATGTATATTAATCGAACTGTCTATGTACTATCAATGTTTGTTGCACATATATGTAAAAACTGCTTGCTTGTTTGTGACGATATTTCAGTTATAGTGTTAGGTGTAAACTTCAAGAACAGGTTATGTTGGAGCTTGACAAAGTTTGGCATTTGATCCTTTCTAATGAAATTTGCCTTGCTNTAAGATTGCTGATTATGAAAATCTATAAAGTTTAGATTACATTATAACTCAAAAAATATTTTAGGTTGTAAAAGGCAAAAATCTAGATTAGTACAAATTGTATATATTCTTTTTCCTAAAAAATATTTTAGGCTGTAAATGGCAAAAAGTATAGATTAGGACGAATTGTATATATTCTTTTTTCCTATGTCTGTTATATTTTAGTCTGAATATCAATGGACATTCAAATGAACTAATTGAGATCCACAGATACTAACAGAGACATCAAGGTTGCATTTGAACATGAAAATTATGAGGCCAAATAACGATTAGATCGTTAACGCTGTAAAAGTTAGTATTTTTAAATCAAAATATATATTTGTACTATAAGATGTCATCTAATTACATACACTTTTCTTTCAAAAATTGCCCAATGAAATAAATAGGTTATCTAGCACAAGAACTACTTTCATTTTCCAAACATGATTAGAGGCATTATGCAAGAAGCAAACTTCCTTGAGTATCTTGTGACATGATTTTGATTAGAGAAAATTATGTGTTCTGTAAGCAAGAGGACTGAAAGATAATTCGAACCCGATCAAAAACCTCATCAAATGTCGAACCATACAAATTACACATAGATGCAGTGTAACTGAGCAACTACTTGGTCAATAATTTTATAACATCGCATTAACATCCAGCACTTTTGGTTCACCACACAAGCAATATATACAAATAAAAGTTCGAAGCATCCATTTATACACACTAGGCAATCGATTCGTGCAGCAAATTAGGACATACAAATGATATAAATTCATCTGTTTGCAAATTGGGTATAATTAAACCAACTGACCGAAGAATTTCAAGACAATTGGTAGATTATGTTTGTTTCGACTATCTTATATTGTGTTTAAGGCTTTTCCTCTATAAAACCCAAAACAAAATCAAACATCCTTTTTCTGCCAATGGAACAAATTCATAAAGAAGAGCAAAATGAAAATAAACCTGATATCAGGACAATAAACCAATCCCCACACTGCAGAAGATTATAGTTGGGGAAAAAAGAAAAAAAGAACATGGAGATAAAGAAACTGGAAAACGATTGTCGGGCTAGTTAAAAAATAATTACGAACCATACAAGAGGATTTAGCGGTGGATAGGAGCGCTTGGAGGCTCGCTATCAACGTGCCAGAACCGTGATTTTTGCTCCTTTCTCTCTCTCTCTCTTTTTTTTTTTGTGTTTTGTTCGAGTCTTTTGTGTTTCTCTTGAGTTTCATCTCTAGCCTACCCCGACTTGCTTGGGACTAAAGGCTATGTTGTTGTTGTTGTTGTTGTTGAACCATACAAGAGGATAAAGGCTGAATTTTATGGCAAATACCAAGTTAATTGTGTACAAAAGCACCAATCTTTTTTCTCATTGCGGACATAAAGGGAATAAAACCATTCCAGTGAATCATATATATCTGGAGGGAAATGCCGATTTAAACGAGAACAGTATCAAGATTCAAATGTATTAGGATTCTGAAGAGAGGGGGACTACAACTTGACCAGCCAATCTTGGTCTGAGTCAGAACCATATTACCAAAATGGCCGTGTGGTAATTAAACACCGAAGTTCCATTTTAAGAGGGAAAGTTTGATGGTTTTAAGCATAGGATCATAAGGATACTTCATAACCTAGTACTAGTTTCGATTCATGAAAATATTCTATCCTGAATAACCTTCAACATAACTTCAAGTAGTCGCAACAAAACGCCTAATCATATTCGAAAACAGAGCAAAAACGCCTAATCATATTCGAAAAGCAAAAACATGACATTATAATCTCCCAACATCAGCAAAGCACAAAGTATCCAATCATTGTCTGTATTGATCATATGTGAATCTGTAAGTAAAAAACACTCAAAGTTGTCTATATTGAGTTACATCATCAGTTGAACTCAATCCTACAAATTCATCAAAGAACTTACCCAGTCACTTTCTTCTCACATCCAGCTCGATGGCCAGTACCCGTGAATCCCATAGCCGGTTTTCCAGTTATCCAAGAAAATCACTTTCCTAACAGCCCAAAACGAGAAAACCAGCACAAACACCATGAACGCCCTTTGCAAATTCAAGTTCTTCACCTTCACAAGCACGTGGGTCGCAAACGCCAGCAAAAGCCCGACAGCCGAGTAAAGGAACCCGACTGCAAATCCCTCGGCCCCCAACTGCATTCCGGAGCCCTGATAGAAGTAGACCATCTTCGTGGGGTTTTCCCTGTCCGTTAAGAAGAGCGGCATTTTCCTGATTATGTTGAACATCACGCCTGAGACGCTGAAAAAGTAGACGAAAATGGCGCCGGCCATCCACACGTACTTCTGGTGGAGGAAAGTGTTCCCGGCGATTAGGTTTCTGATGAAGTACGGAATCGAGACAATGAGCACGGCGGCTATGATGAGGATCTGCTTACGGGAGATGGGTGGCGGGCGGCGGATGGGGCCGACCGAGATTCCGGCCTGGGATTCGAGGAATTGGGCCATGGCTTCGGCGCGGCCGGAGTAGACAGAGGGTTCCATCTGGATCGAGTCGTTTTTGGGGTCGGCGGCGGCGGAAGGGAGGAGGCGGATGTGGGGGAGGGTGCTGACGCCGAAGACGGCGAAGGAAGACTGAGCTTCCTGGAATTCGAGGTTGAAGAAGAAAATGTCGGGGCTGGCGCCGTCGCCGGAGGGGTTGTTGGATCGGGAGGTGGAGGAGAGGAGGGAGAATTCCGATTTTAGGGCGGGGAGGGAGAGCTCGGATTTGGCGTGGAGGTGCTTGGCGTCGAAGAATATAAGGGCGTGGAAGGAGCGGGGGGTGGGGAGGGAGAGGATGCGGCGGAGGAGGTCATCGGAGAGGCGGATGACGCCGGTGGGGGAGCCTGATCGGAGGGCGGCGAGCTCGAGGACGACGGTGTCGGGGGAGCCCACGGTGGCGCGGGGAGCGAGGAGGAGGGAAAGGAGGGTGATGAGGAAGAAGGCGGCGGTTGGGGTTTGGTAGGTCGCCATTGTCGGCGGTGGTGGAGAGTGCTCAGAGTGGTTTGAGGTGTGAGGAGAAGCGACGACTTGGGGCCAATACGGTCAACTCTGGGCAAATTGATGATAAAATGAGGGTGACGAGGATATTTTGTTAGGTGGCTTGACCAATTTTTTTTTCAAACGAACAAATTATATTAATAACTCAAAGTCATACAAATCGATAATCAACTGGTTAAACCAAATACGGGATGAACTAAACATAGTTAACCCTGCACGACCTACAAGGTCAAGAATTATACTACACAACTAAGATCACTAGAACATTTAACAAACAATCTTCAAAAAGTAACTTTAACAAGATAATATCATCACAAATTACAACACATTCATTAGAAGCTTGGGATGTTCCATTCAACCTCTGGACTGCAACCTTTGATTCCATGAAGCACACTATTTTCTTTCATCCTTCCTTGCTAGCCAAATCCAGTAGCCATGTGACAGCTAAGAAGCAAGCTTCATTCACATCACCATTCCAATCCCAAGTCTGCTGCCACTTTGTGATTCTATTACCATTCCTGGTTGCCACTCCTTCAAAAGTCACTGTCTCACAAGTTGAGTGTAGAGCACTGATATGTAGACAAACATATCCTACTCTAAGGGAAAATTGCTCCTCTTGTGAAATAATGCTTTCTCTGAAGATCCTGGCCTTTCTATTCCCTGCCATTGACTGTTGCAAACTCTCAATCCAGTCCCTTTTGGCCCCTTTCACTACAAGCTGTTCATCAAACTGTTCCCCTCTGAAGCACACATTGTTCCTTTGTTTCCAGATTCTCCACATCAGACAAACTGATAAGCCCACTCTGTCAGCAACTTTCTTGAATCTATTGCTTGAGCAAACCTCCTCCCACCATGTTTGGATGTCTGTATTGTTTTGATTGAAGGCCTCCCACTGAATGCCAACCAAAGTCCAGCAGACCCTCACTTTGAGACAATGGATAAACAAGTGGTTCACATCCTCTTCAAACTCTCCACACAATGCACATATGGTGTCCATTTGCATGCCTTTGCTTTTCAGATTTGCTTTAGTACCCAGAAAATTATGGTACACCGTCCACATGAAGTTCCTGAGCTTAGGTTGTAGTGGTAGTTTCCAAGTTCTGTTCCACATTTTTGGCACCATATCATTTGGAGCACTTGGCCCAGCCTGTCCTTGAGCCCTTCTGCATAAACAAATTTAACAGAGAAGTTGTCCTTTATACCTGGCTGCCACACTAGCCTATCCTTACCCTTAAACAAACTGAGGTGAATGCTAAGAATAACAGATGCTTCAAAAGGATTAAAAGTCTGATGAATTAATTCCCTATCCCATTCATTCCTATCCATCAACAACAGATCACTCACAGTTTTCAATCTTTGTCTGTCACCACTAAACTGACATAATTGCACAGATTTAGACAACTTAGGCACCCATGGGTCTTTCCAAATGTCTATAGATTTCTCATCCCCTATCTTCCACCTCATTCCCCTTCTGAGAGACTCTCTACTACTCAGCCAGCTCTTCCATAGCCAGGAATCTGAGCTTTTCTTTTTGACATCAAAAAGGCTGCCTCCATGGAAGTACCTACCCTTCAGAACTTTAGCCACTAGAGAGTTTGGATTTGATATAAGCCTCCATAACTGTTTGACAATAAGGGCATCATTAAAAGCAACAAGGTTCCTAAAGGCCAAACCCCCTTCAACCCTATCCCTAGACAATTTACCCCAGCTAGCCCAATGACTTTTTTTATTCCCAGATTCAGCTCTTCCCCACCAAAAATCAGCAACAGCCCTGATAATATCATTACAAAGAGAGATTGGCATTTTGAAACAAGACATAACATACACAGATAAAGCATTAATCACTGTTTTAATAAGAATTTCTCTCCCAGCTTCACTCAAGAAATGGTTTTTCCAAGAATTAATTCTTTTAAGCACACTCTCAGTCACATACCTAAAAGTCTCTCTTTTGGATTTTCCAATTCCCAAAGGTAATCCAAGATATTTAGAGGTTTAGACACAGGAAATACCTCTGAGAACATTACAGATCAAAACTTCAGACCTAATATCAGAGTTTTTAGAAAAAAAAAAATAGAGGATTTATGCCAATTAACCTTCTGATCTGAAGCTACCCCATATTGATTTAGAATAGACATAATCACTTGAGCTTGAGCCACTGAAGCTTCACTAAACAAGATGGCATCATCAGCAAAAAAAAAAAGATGAGTGAGAACAGGAGAATATTTCCCAATCCTCAGACCAGAAAAAGAACAATGCAAATGGGCTTGTTTGATCAGATTGGATAAGGCTTCAGACAGTAATATGAAAAGGTAATGGGATAAAGGATTGACCGCGCGTCGCAACGCGGAAAAATTAAAATTTATATTTTCCTGGACTAACCTCTACTAACTAGTAATAGTGGCGAGCAAGGGTCGATCCCACGAGGAGTGTGAATCAAATTGTGAATTTTCTCGTATTAATTGAAATTATAAAAAGCGATAAATCGGGAGGGGGGGGGATTGGTTTAAAAACTAAACTTATTAAAAATCCTAATAAACAAAGGAAATAAAAATAAAATAGAATAAATAAAGAGAAGTTTCTAGTTCACGGTTCCGTCTACACCCTCGACTGACTCGTCTAATCAATTCTGGTATCAAATCTCGCTATCTTATGAAATTACTAGCCCTAGGCAACGACACAGTCAGTTACCCAAATTTTTCTTTATTTTTAATTTACCCGCGAGATGCTCTACGATTAAACCTGACTTCTTGTACAGTCTAGAAAAACGTTTTCAAGATTTAATACAATTAGCCGCTTTACGAATTAGAAAAATAGGCTAGACTAAGTAGTGAACTCAACCGCGTTCGCTCACTTAAATAGGCCGTGTTATCCCCGGTAGTTACCATCTTCCGGTTACCTCTTATGAATTAAACACAACAATAATTACGGATTGCAGGTCTAATTCAGATGTAGATATGAAAAGTCTAATCTAGGTGATCAATCTAAACAAGACTAACACATCATGGTGAATTATTCAAAATAACACAAGCAATTCCAAAAAGATATTAAAATCTTCAACCATATAAATCGATCAAAACATAGTCAATCGTAGGGTTTGATTTTCCCGGAACTAGAATAAAACCTAGCCTAACATAATAAATAAAAATAAAAGAAAGATAAAAGAGAGAGATTGATTATCTCCCTCGTGTACGGGTGCGGCCTCCCTCCGCAATTGATCGAGTTCCCCTCTGTCCGTTTGTTCTTGCGCTGCTCTCTTTCTTTTCTGTTTTCTGCGTGTCTTCCTCTGACTGCGTGGCGGCTCCCAAAATAATGCCTCTCCCCGGTGTGCTATTTTGGTGGCACTCCAATTAATAAATAAGGGCCTGCGTGTATGAATTCCTATCCTTGGTGGCTTAGGTCTCTTGCTCTATGAATTATTTGTTTCCTTGGGTCTTTTGTGTAGTCTTTTCTCAGCCCAATCTTTTCTTTATTTAACTCATGGGCCCATAATTTGAATAATTTGAGCTTATTTTCGCACATGACATAAATTGGCCAATAACTGAGCTGGTATGGGGTACTAGCTCTGTTAGCAGTAGAATATGGGGCACCCCCGTACTGTCTGCTTCAACCTTCCTTCGACGTCTCGTCGTCCATAAAAACACTTCAATATCCTAAAAATAAACAATAAAAATATCAAAGCACCAGAATCCATATAATAAATAAATAAGTCGAAAAACAATATAATTGCGATAAAATTAAACATATAAAAATACGCTAATAAATATATAAACACGCACTTTTTCCGACCAATCAAGGATCCTCTTGCCTAATCCCTCTAGTTGGAACAGCTGACCCAAGAATTTGACCACTGACATTAAAAGAAAAACATGAGGATCTAACACAAGTCATGATCCAGGCAATAAACTTAGAGTGAAATCCCATTTTAAAACAGACTCTAGCCAGAAAGTCCCATTCTACTTGATCATAGGCCTTAGCCATATCAAGTTTAACTGCCATGAACCTAACAATGCCTTTTCTTTTACTGTTCAGATAATGCAAGCATTCATTAGCCAAAATTACATTGTCCAAAATTTGCCGGCCAGGTACAAAAGCAGACTGAGTAGGTGATATACAATGATGCAACAAAGGTTTCAGTCTGTTGGCCAAAATTTCAGCTATAATTTTATAAGTAACTGTACATAAGCTAATAGGACGAAAATCAGATAACAAAGAAGCATTATTATTTTTATTTTTTTTTTTAGAATAAGAGTGATGATGGTGTGATTTGTGGCTTTAGGCATTTTACCAGAATTGAAAAAAATACTCACAGCAAGGTAAACATGGTGTTTCACAGAAGGCCAAGTACTTTGGAAGAAGGCAGGAGTCATACCATCTACTCCTGGATCCTTATTTGGATCCATTTCCATCACTGCCACCTTAATCTCTTCTTCTTCCATTGGTTTGATGAGTTCAACATTCATCTCTGCAGTGATGGATTTTGGGATTCCCTGCAGATTACAAGCTTCAACCAATGGATTAGAAGTTTGAAAAAAATGATCAAAATACTTTTGAATCTCCTCTACTGTTTCCTGTTGACCCTCACATCTTCTACCCTTGGCTGAGATCAGGTTTTCCAAACTATTCATCTTTATCCTTTGCCTTGTACTAGCGTGAAAAAATTTGGTATTTCTGTCCCCAGCCCTTAACACTGAACCCTAGATTTGCCTTTCCAGTATAATTCCTCTTCCGCATAAGCCTTATGAAGATTGGATTTACAATTCTCCCAAGCCTACCCCCCCCCCCCCCCCTTGATTCCCTAATTCAGCTAGTTTCTCCTTACAATCCAGAATGGTTTTAGCTGAGTTGCTCTTGTTATTGGCAAGCCAACCTAACAAAGCAACTCTAACATTTCTAATTCTAGACTGAAGAGTAAGCAATGCTGGCCCATGAACCGGGTAATTCCAAGCTTGAAGTACAATTTCCTGAAACCCATCCATCTGCACCCATCTCCCATAAAAACAGAACCTCTTTTTGCCTTTACCATTCTTAGGATTTTGTTCCAACAAGAGAAGGTTGTGATCTGAGGAAGAGAGAGCAATGTTTCCAACTCTGGCATTTGGAGACTGGACAACCCAGAAAGGAGATAAAACAAATCTATCTAACTTAACCTCCACAAAATCAGAAAACTTCCTTAAGTTAGACCAAGTGAAAACACTCCCCTGAACATTAGGTTCCACTCCCCCTAAACCACTCACAAAATCTCTAAAGCTCTGAAAGCTAGCTTCATCTCTAATGACCCCTCCCTCTTCTCATCATTAGTCAAAATATCATTAAAATCCCCTGCAACTAACCATAAATCCCCCCACCCTATTTTAAGCCTCAAAATATAGCTCCATTGCATACATCTGACCCATGGATCAGTGCTTGCATAGAGGAAAATTGCCCACTGAGCATCAGGACAACCCTCAAAACAAAAGTTAACACAAAGCAAAAATCAAGACCTTGAATATTTAAAATGGATACTTTATCAGACCACAAAAGAAGCAACCCACCCTTTCTACCAATAAGATTAACTACTGCACATCTATCAACAGAATGAAGATTCTTACACACAGACATGACAAAACCATTTTTTTTTTTTTTTTTTTGTTTCTGAAAGAATAAAGAAATCAGGAGAGTGAGATCTAATGACCTCTTTGATTTGGGAAACTGTAGAGGGACTCCCCATACCTCTATAATTTCACACACATACATTCATTGGACACTGTGGGCCCCTTTCAGGTAGGCCTCCTCCACCTCTACAGCTAACTCCTGATTAGAGTTTTTGGGTTTTTTACCACTGCTACTACCCCCAGCCTCAACTACCTCTAAATCAGACATGAGTTTTCTTTTCAAAGATCCGTCTGACATAGCCAAATGGCTACTCATAAGGGGGTTGTAAACTTGCATAATTTGAGACTGGGTTGTTTTGTTAGTTCTGATTTTTCTGGTAAATCCTCTTGTTTTCTTCTGGATATTGTTACTATCCACAGAAGCACAAACAACAACCTCAACCAGATCCTCAGAGTATATTTCAGGGATTGTTTGAAGAGTAGGAGAAATATCCAGACCCTTAGGACTAAGGGTCCTCTTGGTCTGCATAGAGCTACTACCCCCTTCCACCTTTTCATTCTCTTTCTCAACATTACCCACCTCTGTCAACCCCACAATAACCTCAGGTCTACTACTACCCTTAACCCTAGTCCCACTTTCTTCCTTCTCTAGGCTAGCCCCCTCACTCACTCTCCCCTCAGAGGGTTGGCTCTCAACAGAACTAAATTTAGAATTTCTAAATTCTCCCACAGAAAAAGATGAGGCCCTAAGCCAGTCTCCAAATTGCCCAGATTTAATCACATTACTACGCACATCTGCCTTCTTGATACAGCAGCCTCTCTCATTGTGACCAATCCTACCACAGTAAAAACATAACATTTGCAGGTTCTCATACTGAAAGCTCACCCACTTTGCTTCATTTCCTACTTTAATAGTAGTTCCTCTCAGAAGAGGTTCACTCAGTTTCTGTTCAACTAAAACCTTGACTACACTGCCACTGGTACCACTCGAGCCTGGGATTAGAACATCTAACACAGTCCCAATGAGCCTACCCACCTTTAACCCTGTTTCCTCTGATATCTAGTGAAGAGGAAGGTTTGTGATTTGGACCCAGAGCTTGGCTATTTCTTCATCCGGAGAAAAATCAGTATTACTCGGGTCCCAATCTTTCAGAAGCAGGTATTGACCATCAAAATTCCATGTTTTACCTTGAAGAATTCGTTCCTTATCTTCCACTGTTTGAAATAAAAACTGGTACCTGTTATTACCCAGATTTCGGATCGAGAATGGCTTTTTAGTCACCAAAATGTTGGAAATAGTTGTTTTGAACCCTCCAAAGTTAACCTTCTTGTCCCTGAACAATTTCCCAATAAGACTCATTTGGCATTCCTGGATTCCTAATGCTATATCCTTATCCGATAAAGTGATTCCTATCTCCTCCTTATCTGACAGCACAAATTTCTGCAAGTGGTTGACTACTTCTTCCTCCATGCTTCCCACCGTCCACAAAGAAACCACGATCTGCAAACACCAATATTACCTTGCAAAGCCAAACAGGAATGGAAAGCAACAGGTCAAGAAGAAACAAGCAAGAAAAAAATCATCGACAGATAAGAACTAAGAAAATAGAACAAATCAAGCAAGCAATAAGTAAACATAAAAAGAAGGCACTGGACTCGACACTAAAAAAACAGACAAGATCCCCAAAAACCCCAACAACAAACCCTAATCAAAAGGGAAAAATCCTAAGACGAACTGGAACTCCAACGAGAGAGACGAGAAAAACCTAAGGAAACGGGATTCCTCATTGTAGATCTAATAACCCACAATTTGACATTCCTAAAAAGTGTTTTAAGTTAACCCAACTCTTAAATGAAATTATTGGTGGTTGGCAAATAACTCGATTACATTCTTGAAAGTTTTGGATCCAATCGTTCGAATTATATCATACATAAGCTATTGTAAACAAGTTACAAATTGAAAAAAAATGTAATTAAGAAATTATTGAGAAAAATAAACCTTCAATCAACTATTCAAATACGTGAAAGTTAATATAATTGTAAGTAAAAAGAAAAGATTTATAATTTTGAAAATGAAACAAAATTTGTAGGTGAATGGTGTAAAATTTTCTATTTAAATAAAACTACTTGTAAATCTCTCACGATCAAAACTTCTCATTACACAAAATCATTGATTTGTGGTATTTTTAAAATTTTACTGTTGTATTTTAAAAATTTTGCAAATAAATGATATTTGATATAAAATCATATATAAATCAATTATTAACAAGTCATACACAAAAAAAAAATAGAAAATAGTAATGAAGATATACCACAAATTAGCTATTTATAAATGGTAAATATTAGTATATTTGTTGTTGTCAGTATTTTAACCGGAGTAGAATCGAAAGATTCGTCCCCGGGTCGTATCACAAGGAAGGTTAGCCGGATTTAATTGTTCGATTATTCAATCACAAAAAAAAAGATAAAAATCCTAAACAATCTAATTCAATGATTTGGGTTTCGATTATCAACTACCAACTTTAAATTAAATAAAGCACGAAATGAACAGTAACTAATTAACTGAGAATTTAAAGAGCTAGGGAATCGGGGACAACTGCTTTCGGTTCTTACACAACTACCGGCAATCAATTGCTCGGTTAAAGGGAATGAATCGTCTATCGTTTAGAGGTTCACTCTCAATAACTCTTCGTAACAAGAGAGTGAACATATACGATTGACTATCAAAGCCAGCAACACATAGACAATACTTTGACGAACAAGTCTATTCTAAACGAGCCTAAGTCGACCAATGTCTCCCCTTTCGGTTCTAAACAATGATTTACTAGGTTATATAGGTGATCAATCTATTAACCTTAAATTGAACTCAACTCGCATAGATATGAACAATTAAGAACAAGCAATTATAATTGAACCTAATCAATTATCCCCTATCCCTAGCAGATGGATTTAGCTACTCATAGTGGATTTGATCACACAAGCATTCATAACCCAAGACATCATCATCAATGAAAGAATTGAAGAAAAATACTTACGATTAATGAAAATTCTGAACCCAATCCAATAGTATCCGAATCCAAAGCAAGATAATAGAGGTTTTAAATCTCTAAAATCAAATCCCAAGATCAAAACAATCCAAAAGCGCGAAAAGAAAGAAAAGGAATGAGTTTCTCTAGAGAAAAAGTGTAAAAACGAAGTCTGAAAAACTGAATAATGAACCCTAGGGTCGAATTCTGCTCTAAAAATCCCGTCCTCGAAATTCGCGCCCGACAAAGTCGCGAGTCGCGACTTACTCGCGAGTCGCGAGATGGACCTTTTCTTCGCTCGCTAGTCGCGACTTCCTGGCGAGTCGCGCGCCGTCAAAATATAAATTTCTGGGGTTAAGTCGCGAAATATCTCGCGAGTCGCGACTCCATGTCGCGAGTCGCGACATCATCTCGCGAGTCGCGAGTTCTGCTCGACACTGCACCATAGACCTCTGTTTTTTCCGCGGGTCGCGACACTCGCTTGAGTCGCGACTTGACTCGCGAGTCGCGAGACATCTCGCGAGTCGCGACTTTTTCTGGGCACAGTTTCTGTCGGCTTTTTCAGTCCTTCCTCGAGTTTTCTGGGCTCGGTAACGGATGTTCTTGATATCACAGTCTCGGCTTACGCAATTCTAACCTCGACCGGCACAACCTACCTCCTGAAAACACAACACAGAAAAACACGAAGCAAAACACAGCAAAAAGATACAAAAATATAAGCTAAAGACAAAAACACAAAACGAACGAAATGGACCAAATAAACTACAAAAATCCTACAAACGGGGGAAAACGAAAAGATAATAAGCATGAATTAAAGACACAAAAATGGGACAAACATTTGTAATTAAAAATAAAAAGTTTATAAATATACATTTTTTCTTCTTCATTTTTCTGTACAGCCCAAATTAATAAGGCTCGGTCTAGAATCACCATTGTTTAATGAAGAATTTGCACAAACTTGGGTGAAAATCCAGGCTCATACATACTATTGATATATGGCCCAAAATTTTCATATTATTTTTTAGTGGACTTGAGATCGTCTTTCCTAAAATCTGGATTACATTAGAGTTAGGCCGACCCATCCAATTTCTAGAAGGGCTGGGCTACAATTTCTCAAATAGAACGCCGATATAGCCATCCTCACAAAACGTTTGGCCTTGCCTGTGGAAGATTCTTTTCAACCCTACAACTAAATCACCAAACTACATGGTGTACTAGTCTTTGAACTAACATTAATTTTTATTTTGACAAATTTGATACTAATACAATTCATATTTTTATATACATGCCATAATAAACACCTTAATTGTTATATTCAATATTGTAATCAACTTTTTTCGCAGTTGAATCAACACTTATTGTCCCTTTTGCTTGGCATCGTTATATCACTAAGGCCAACTTTCGTTTCTTGAGTCTTGCAGGCAAACTTTCTTATGTCTTTACGTTCGAGAGTAGGCCTGTAGACGAGCAGAGCCGACCTCGATCTTAGAGTATTCGAGTTCGAGCTTTTAAGGAATCGAACTGCGTTGTGTTCGTTAAATAAACGAGCTAAAAATTGAGCTCGAGATCAACTCGTTTATCACTATTAATAAGTCGAGCTCGAGTCTTAACGAGCTGGTCTCGAATTTTAACGAATCGAACTATAGAAAATAATATAAAAATTTCCTTTTCGAATTTTATCGAAAAGAGCGGAGTTCGACTCATTAGCCGAACGAGCTTTAAATGAACTTGAGCTCGATTAGTTAAGTTGATGCGTAACAAAATCTACCTAAAGTACGGAAGCATTAAAGGTGGTGACAGTCCTATAGCCAGCAAATCACGTGATGATAGAGATTCAAGAAAGTGGGATGCCACGTGTCAGCAAGGTTTAATCAATGGGAAAGGTAAATGTCCAGTTTTATCCAATGATTGACAGCACCTATTCTAAAGGAATGAAATGAAAGGCCAAAGCCAAATTCCCAATAATCACAATTTCTATGATTCATGCATCTATAGTTATGATATGATGGCACTCGTTTTGATTAGGACATTGGAAAGCAATGGTTTTGAAATTTGGATAGCTGAAAATATTTTCACCTGTCCAAATTTAATTTAGTTTGGTATTGGACATGTTTTCCGAAAAATAAAAAAGTTAGGTATGAGTGAATTAGTGGAAAAAGTTAACAATTATTTTAATTTTAATGTAGAGTGATGTGATATATAATAATAATAATAATAATTAATTACAAAGTAATTTAAAGAATAATAATTCAATGTGATCTGGCAAAAAAATAGTGAAATAATGATTGATATTTTTAAACGTGTAAATAAATGAATAGTTTGTATAGTAATAATTTATTCATTTATTTGAAAAAAGAATGTTTCAGTGACCTACATATCAAGATCTTGTGATGTCACCATTCATGGTATATTAAATTTATGTCATTTGATTTTTAATTTTCCGCCAAATCAATTGATCATCATTTATATTTTTCCAAATTAACAAAAATATATAGTCATTGTGGATAATAAAATGAAGGTACGTCGGTCAGTTAGATTATTGGCTCAATATTTTAACTAAAAGTAATGCATGTGAAACAAATACTTCACATGCTTATAGTACTACCATATGGCCCTTTCAATACATTCAGGCGAC